TATCTCAAGGTTACTTTAATTTGCATTTCTCTAATAAGTAATGATTTGGAGAATTTCTCATATGATTATATATATATATATATATATATATATTATATAGCTTTGATTGAACTGCTGTTCATATCCTTTGACCATTTCTTTTTTTTAAATATAAATTTATTTATTTTTAGTTTTCAATATTCACTTGCACAAGTTTTTGAGTTCCAAATTTCTCACCCCTCCCCCCACCCCAAGATGGCATGCATTCTGAATACCCCTTCCCCTGGTCTGCCTTCTCTTCTATCTCTCCCCCCTCCCTTCTCTTATCCCCTTCCCCTTCTATTTTCCTGTAGAGCAGGATAGACTTCTGTACCCCATTTCCTGTATTTCTTATTTCCCAGTTGCATGTGAAAACATTTTTTTTTAAATCATGTGTTTTTAAAACTTTGAGTTCCAAATTTTCTCCCTTCCTCCCTCCCCACCCACCCTCATTGAAAAGGCAAGCAACTCAATATAGGTTGTACATGTGCAGTTATGCAAAACACTTCCTTAGTAGACATGTTGTGAAAAACTAACTCTGTTTCCCTTAATCCTATCCTGGCCCTCCCATTTATTCTATTCTTTCTTTTGACCCTGTCCCTCCTCAGAAGTATTTGCTTCTGATTACCCTCTTTCCCAATCTGCCATCCTCTCTATCACCCCCCTGCTCTCTTGTCCCCTTCTCCCTCTATTTTCCTGTAGGGTAAGACAGATTTCCATCCCCAATTGAGTGTGTATGTTAGTCTCTCCTTAAGCCAAATCCTATGAGAATAAGATTCCCTCATTCCCTCCTCTCACCTTCCCCTATTTCCCCTCCACTGTGAGAGACTTTTCTGTTTTTTTTTGTGATATAATTTACCCCATTCTACCTGTCCCTTTCTTCTCCAAGTATCATCCTCTATCATCCCTTAATTTCATTCTCCAGATATGACCCCTTAATCTTCAGCTCACCCTGTGCCCTCTATCTATCTAGCTATCTGTACATACATACAATTTTTTTTCCTTCAACTACCCTAATACTGACAAAGTTCTCATGAGTTACAAATATCATCTTTCCATGCAGGAATGTAAACAGTTCAACCTTAACAAGTCTCTTATGATTTCTCTTTCCTGTTTACCTCTTCATGTTCCACTGGAGTCCTGTATTTGAAAGTCAAATTTTCTGTTTAGCTCTGGTCTTTTCATCAGGAATGCTTGAAAGTCCTCTATTTCACTGAATGACCATTTTTTCCCCTGAAGGATTATACTCAGTTTTGCTGGGTAGGTGATTCTTGGTTGTAATCCTATCTCCTTTGCCCTCCGGAACATTATATTCCATGCCCTGCGGTCCTTTAATGTAGAAGCTGCTAAATCTTGTGTTATCCTGATTGTGTTTCCACAGTACTTGAATTGTTTCCTTCTGGCAGCTTGTAATATTTTCTCCTTGACCTGGGAACTCTGGAATTTGGCTACAATATTCCTAGGAGTTTTCCTTTGGGGATCTCTTTCAGGAGGAGATCTGTGGATTCTTTCAATTTCTATTTTGCCCTCTGGTTCTAAAATATCAGGGCAGTTTTCCTTGATAATTTCTTGAAAGATGATGTCTAGGCTCTTTTTTTGATCATGGCTTTCAGATAGTCCAATAATTTTTAAATTCTCTCTCCTGGATCTATTTTCCAGGTCAGTTGTTTTTCCAATGAGATATTTCACATTGTTTTCTAATTTTTCATTTTTGGATTTGTTTTACAGTGTCTTGATTTCTCATAAAGTCACTATCTTCCAATTGCTCTATTCTAATTTTTAAGGAAGTATTTTCTTCAGTAATCTTTTGGACTTCCTTTTCCATTTGGCCAATTTTTCTTTTTAGGGCATTTTTCTCCTCATTGGCTTTTTGGACCTCTTTTGCCATTTGGGTTAGGCTTTTTTAAGGTGTTATTTTCTTCAGTATTTTTTGGGTCTCCTTTAGCAAGCTGTTGACTTGTTTTTCATGATTTTCTTGCATCACTCTCATTTCTCTTCCCAGTTTTTCCTCTACTTCCCTTACTTGCTTCTCAAAATCCCTTTTGAGCTCTTCCAAGGCCTGGGACTGATTCATTTTTTCTTGGAGGCTTTGGATGTAGGAGCTTTGACTTTGTTGTCTTCTTCTGGTTGTATATTTTGATCTTCTTTTTCACCAAAGTAAGATAATATAGTCTGACTCTTTTTGTGCTGCTTGCTCATGATCCCAGCCAATTACTTGAGTTTTAAACTCTTTGTTAAGGTAAGAGTCTGCTTCCAATGTGGAGAGTGTACTGTCCCAAGCTTCAGGGGTTTGTGTAGCTGTTTTCAGAGATACTTGTAGGGACCTGTAAATTTTCAGTTCTTCCAAGGTGGTATGATAAGGGGCGAGGTGTTTACTCCTTTCCTGGCCTGTGACCACAAGTACTCCTTTCTGTCCTGTAACTGTGAGGAGGGGTTCTCTCACAGCCACACAAGCTCCACCAGCCAGCTCCTCCTCACCCCAGCACTCCACCCAGAACTGTGACCCAGATCCACACGGGCAAAGCAAGAGATTCCTGCCTCAGCACTGGCAAAGAGATCCCTGCAGTCCCTCTCTGATCAGCCACTGGATTCCCCCTCAGTCTGTGGGCTGGAAGCTGGGAAGCAGCTGCAGCTGCCCCCCCCCCCCCCCGCTCTTGGGGAATGGAGCTGAGACCCCGCCTTCCTCTCTGCACCGACAGAAACAGACTTTTCCCACTGACCTTCTAAGTTGTCTTTGGCATTGGTGGATTGAGGAGTCTGGAAACCTCCACAGCTGCCCCGTGATTCAGTCCTCTGAGGCCTGCTCCAGGTTTGTTGTGGCCTGCGCGCCCACGCTGCGCTGCGCTCCCAGCCGGCGCGGATACACCTTTCTGATCAATCATCCAGGTTGTCTTGGGCAGGAAATTTGTTTCACTCTGTCTTTTTGTGGGTTCTGCTGCCTCAGAATTTGTTTAGAGCCATTTTTTATTAGTATTTGGAGGGGTTTTAGGGGGGAGCTCAAGCAAGTCACTGCTTTCACTCCGCCATCTTGGCTCTGGCCCCCCTGACCATTTCTAAGTTGGGGAATGGCTTACATTCTTTTAAATTTGAGTTCTCTTATAAATAAGTTCTCTAAATATTTGAGATACTTTATTCGAGAAACTGTTGATAGAAAAATTTCCCCCAATTTTCTGCTTTCCTTTTAATGTTGGCTACATTGGTTTTATTTGTGTAAAACCTTTTAAGTTTAATGTAATAAAAATTATCCATTTATACCTAACAGTGTTCTCTATCTCTTTTTTATTTCTCCTATCCATTCTGCCTATCCATTGGTAATATGTTTCATGTTTTTCTAATTTACTTATGATGTCTCTCTTTATATCTAGGTCATATTGATATTCTGACATTCTCTTGATAAATGGTGGAAGATACTGGTCTGTACCTAGTTTCTGACATATTGCTTTCCACTTTTCCCAGCAGCTTTTATCAGTTAGTTTACAAATGAGTTCTTATCCCAAAAGCTTAGGTCTTTACATTTATTAACATAAGGTTACCCTAATAATTTACTACTATGTATTGTGTAACTACCCTGTTCCACTGATCTGCCATTCAATTCCTTAGTCGGTACTAGATTATTTTGATAATTACCACCTTATAATACAGTTTAAGACCTGGCACTGCTAGACCTCTTTTCTTAACATTTTTATTTTTATTAATTCCTTTGATATCCTTGACCTTTTGTTCTTCCAAATGAATTTTTTTATTATTTTTTCTAACTCAGTAAAATAAATTTTTTTGGTAATTTAATTGAGATGGCACTGAGTAAGTTGATTAATTTAGGTAGAATTGTCATTTTTATTCTGTTGGCTTGGTACCCACCGATGAAGCGAATGATATCTTAATTTGGACTTTTTGCTTTGTTTTTCTGTGTTTCTACTATTTGAACTCTTTTTTTTCTTTGCTTGTACTAATCTGTGCTGTTCAGTTAAATTTGCTCTTCCAACTGTCTGTTACGAAGGGATATTATTTAATATTATTTCATTTATAAGAATTAGATATAAATTTCAGACAAATCAAACCTAATTACTTAAAAAGCAGTTATCTGTTTACTATTCTCATTATTTCATGTATTAAATGTTGTAAAATTTTAATGAAACAGAATATTATATTGTATTGGACTTGCCAAAATCAATAATGTTGAGAAATATGTATGATACTTTAAATGTACACACAAAAATTGCCTAACTTTGAATTTGCACACTTCATGTTTAAATGGAGCAAGGAGCACAATGACACAATCTGTGTCGTGAGCTCAAAGTTATTGATGGGATGGTCCCCTTATTTGTGCTGACTGCATTAGGTAATCACTGATCAGCATAAACTGCCAGTTGTAGAGGATTGCTGTGTTGAATATGCTTTTGTTAATTTGGATGTGAACTTTATTTTAATTGAAAAAAAGTGTATTTATGTGTATTGTGGAAAAAACTGTACATTTGAAAATAACCAATAATTTTGGCCATTGCATCATGCCACACAAGAGAAGATGTCTCCCCACCTCACTTTCCTCAGTTGTGGCATATCCTACAGCTTTGAAAACTCCAGACAAGATGATCTAATAAGGTTCTTTCCAACTCTAAATCTTATAAACTGTGGGGATAGCTAAGTGCTATATCATTTTACTAGCTTTTCAGATGTATAGTTTGGTGAAATTTGTAGAGGTTCCATCTAAAATGATTTCTAGTGTTGATTATTAAACTTGTAGCACGTTCTCAATAGCAGCTTTGTCACATTAACCCGTTTGCCCATCTGTTTATTGAAATGTCTGTTATGAAGCACTATGCAAAGCCAAAATTCTGCAGGTGATTTCCACTTTTAAAACCAATTTCACGTCTGATGTGATTGATGAGAGGGACTAATTTGTGCAGATTTTATGTTTAAAAGTGTAAGTAAAAATCATGAGCTAATATAAACAGTAAATGCATGTTATGTTTCTTGATCTTTAGGGAAAACAAGATGGATCTTAGGTGTTCACTAGAAGAATGTACAATGGCATTAAACTTATTTCTAAATAATAGATTCTCAGAAGCCTTGGAATTACTTCGTCCTTGGTAAGTTTAACTTAGTTCCGTTCAATTACAGGTAACGCAGATAGTTGTCATGCAGAGAGAGTTTTCTAAACATTCTGGCTTTTAGCCTATTTATGTTGCTACATAAAAGTTTGTTTGCTTTCCTGATGGAATAGTATGCTTATTATTCCTTGAATTCATAGCTGGATTGCTTTTTGTATATGGATCTTGATTTACTTTATTTGTGTGAATAACTATCCTTTGATATAAAAAAAACTGATTCTCTATACATATTGGGTGGCACGATTGCATTGTTGGAATAGGGGAATAATTATAACAGGGCATAGTGTTCCTTATAATGACAGTTTTCTGTTTTCGTTTTATGCTGTCTGAATGGCTTGCAGAATAACAGATTAGAAGAATATATATTTTGCTATTAGGGGTGAAGTGGCTTCTCCCCCCCATTCCAAGTATTCCTTATTTTGCAGTATTCTGAGGGGTCTCCATTGTTACAGTGTCACTTATTCTTAAAAACAAACTTATTTCAGTTCATTTTGATTTTTGAAGATATGTTTCCTGTTTGACTTAACACTGCCCTTCTTTCTCTTAGCTATTACTAAAATGCCATTAAAATACTCCAGTACTCCATAATGATATTACTGCATTGTAGGACTACTCCAGTTTTAGGAATGGAGGTAGGTGGGTGAGGGTGGTATTGCTGCTAAGCTAAACAATGATTGGCTATTGTAACTACCAAAAAAAATGGGAATATTTGTTTTCTAACTAAAAAAAAAGTATTTTCACCTGGAAAAACAATAATAAAAAAGCAACAACTTTCTTCTAAGAAGTATGTTTTTGGGTTACAAATTTGAGGTTTTGAAGCCACAGTTAATGTTCTATAAAGCCTTTACTTTGGTGCTGCTCTTTTGGCCTGGGCAGTGCCTTTGAACAACCTATGCTTTGTGCACATAGAACAAGGAGGCAAATTAATTTGGCTGTTCCCATTCAGGAAAGGAGTGATGTGTTTTGGGTTTGTTTTCCATAGAAACTTGATTTGGGTATTAATATTTAAATGGAAGATAAAAAGTATTTCTAAAACTTACTCATAGCTAAGAAATACAATCACAGAATCATGGGATTCATGTGGAGCTTGAAGGTGCTAAGAGGATGAAGTCAGGTGACTTGCTGTAGGCCAGATAGCTTTTAAGTGGCTGGGTCTCATTGAGAGTAGGTAAAAGGATTTTTCTGGGAGGCTTTTGAGCAGCTGCCCCATTTCTACACCTCCCATTCCCCTCTTGGTAGCTGCCATTCCTTGTCCTCTCAGCTTCTGGCTGGGGCCACCTTGCTTTTCTGCTGAGCTGCCATGCTAATTGCCTGTTTGCTTTCCCAGCCCTGGGGTAAGCAGTCTTCCTGATTGATGCCAGGCCCCTCACTTCAAAAACGTTGTGATTCCCAGTCTCTTAGCCCTGGCCTTTTTCTTACCAAGATAAATAAATTGCTGGCTTCTCATGTCTACATTATTTAAAAGACATCTAAGATTATTCTGACCACCTCTGTACATGTTCCTGGGTAATTGCTGACTCACCTTCCCTACCATAACTTTTCCCTCTTCTGTCTAAATGATAGATACACTTGTGGGTTGGTATTGCCATGGCTCCTCACTGCCTGATCATAAGATCTGTGGGCTTTTTTTGGCAATTTCCTGAACTAGGGTAAAGGAAGACAGGAGTGTTCATGTGACTCAGCTATACAAGCAGATGAGTGGGCACTTAATCATTGCAAATTTGAACTCTAGAGCCCCTCCCACCTGGAATCAACAGCTCTTTTTTTTTTTTTTGTAAATATGTTAATTCTCTTATATAGCCAGAGAAAGATTATTTTCCCGTTGTGGTAGGAAAATTTTAAAATTATGAACTTGACAAACATCAACAAAAATTAACACTTATCTATAGAGAATAGAAAAAGGTGATTGTGGGTGTATGTATACATATATCCCATAAACAAACAAATAACTGTGTCATCCTTTACTTAAAATCCATCAACTCTCTTAAGAAGTAGGAAGCATGCTTCATCATTCTTCTGAATTCATGATTCATTATTATGTTGATTAGAGTTATTAAGTCTTTTAAAATTGTTTTTCTTTGTAGTATTGTCATTTTGAAATTGCTCTCCTGGTTCTGCTTAGTTCATGTCAGTTCATATACTCCTCCTTGGGTTTCTCTGAATTCATTCCTTTTGTCTTTTTTTTTTAACTTTATTACGTTCACATAATTTTTTATTTTTTAATTTAATTGCTTTTCAATGGACAAAAAAATCTATTTTCTCTCCATCTCTCCTCTCTTTGGGGAAAAAACCCTCCACAGATCTTTGTAACAAGTATATAACATTTATATACCACAATTTGTTCAGCTTCTTCCCAATTGGTGAGCACCCATTTTGTTTCCAGTTCTTACTGTAAAAGAAAGTGTTGCTATAAATATTTTTATTTACATGGATCTTTGATTTTTTTTGGGTATGAGGGAAACAAAAAGGGGAAGAAGAAGCAAGAGAGAGAGAGAGAGAGAGAGAGAGAGAGAGAGAGAGAGAGAGAGAGAGAGAGAGAGAAGTGATCATGTTTTTAACTTAAGGAAACTTTGTGCTGAGTTGTTTTTCAAGAATTGAATCCAGTAAACTGTTCGTTTGATCTTTGGTTGATGAAAAGGTAAAGATGTAGGGAAAAATGCATTGCTTGGACACCTTTTAAAAAAATAAGTTCATAATGAATGTGCCCCCTTGTGGTAAAGAAAAGATCATTGCAAAGTGAAGCAGAGATTTAAGACGATTATTATAGGTCTAAATGTAGAAGTCCTCAAAATAGTTTTTAAATGGCTGAGTTTTTACAATACAGTGTGCATGGTCCTTAGTACTCAGCAGATCAGTGATCCAGATGATGTGTTAAATACTATTGAAGTTGTGAGAAGTAGTAGATAATAGCTTTATAATTCTGTGTATAGTCCCAATGTGATGTTTTTAAAAAGTTCTGGAGTCTAATGTAAGTGCTCTGTTTTCTTATGTCTTTTTCAGGTCGAAAGAGAGTATGTATCATGCTCTGGGCTATAGCACTATTTTAGTAATGCAGGCAGCAATGACCTTTGAACACCAGGACATCCAAAATGGCATTTCCACAATGAAGGAAGCTTTACAAACCTGTCAAAAGTAGGCCTGAGTAATTTAACTACGGGAGAAGACTGAATATCAGCCTTAAATTTTGTGTGGCAAAACTCATGATAACTGCAAAATTAGAGAGCTGTATTCTTCACTGTAGTAGGTTACTTTAAATAGGAAAAGAAAGGTAGATTTCAGCTTCTATGCTCCCTTATTCTCTGTATTTTCAGTGTCAAGATTTTTAAAAAAATGTCAAAACAGTATTTCCAGGTAGGCTAAAGGGCAGGTAGATTTGGTTAAATGGTATTTTGATCCACAGTTCTGTCAGCTTTCTGGGTTGAACAAACACGCCCCTCTCTTCATTTTTGTTGTTTTAGTGTTCAGGAAGGGCAGTTAAGGCTAAACAATAATGCGGTGTTCTTTTTGTATGTTTTGTTGTTGTTGTTGTTGTTGTTGTTGTTGTTGAGGCAGTCGGGGTTAAGTGACTTGCCTAGTCACACAGCTAGTGAGTGTTATGTGTCTGAGACTGGATTTGAACTCAGGTCCTCCCGACTCCAGAGCCGGTGCTCTATCCACTGCACCACCTAGCTGCCCCTCTTTTTGTATGTTTTACACGTTCATTTGTAGCATTCTGCATCTTAGAATTTTTTTTGAACATCTTTGAACCCTTTTGATAGCTGAAAATTAGATGGATTTAAAAATCATGCTCCTATGTTTGATGTACAAATACAGAAGAAATATCTCAGGAGGGGCTGTTCTTTTAGTATCAAAATTCATAAGGACTAGTCTGGTCTTAGTGTTTCAAGCATTCTTCCTTCCCAATATTGTACCCTCCAGATTCAGAGAACTTAAGAGTATCTGACTTTTTCCCAAGCTTCTGAGATTTTTCTGTTACTTATTGTATATTTACCACAGAAATAGTGATCTTGTCCTGTGGGATTAAGGAAAACAGCATCAAAGGTTTAGGGTTCTAGCTTGGTCATTCTTTAATATAGTTGAGTAGAAATACTATTTTGTGTTTCTAGGGGTTATATCAAGGGGTTCTATCTGAGATGAGTACTAAATGGAAATGAAATGAATTCAGCTCAATTTCTCATTTTGTATGCTTTTCTTTTTTTTCCCACTTGTTTGATGTAGATTCAGAAAAAGAAACACAATGGTAGAATCTCTGTCAAGTCTTGTTTCCAAATCATCAGTGGATCAGCTGAGTGAAGGTGAGTCAGAGAATCATAAAACATAAAAGAAGGTACCTGAGAGATCATCAGATCCATCTTTATGTGATTTATCCAGGCTGGTAAGCTAGCCTAGCTAGTAAGTAAAGCAGGATTGGTACCTAGGTCTTCCTGACATGTAAGCCTAACATACCATCCACTTCACTAGGCTGCCTCTCAAGCACCTTGAGGTCTCTTGAGAATATTGGTCAAGTTGGGCAGTAGGTGTGGTAATTGGAATGTGGACGTTTATGAATATTTAGGAACCCATATATTTTTACATAACATTGATAAGGCTAATGATGGGCAAGAGACTCCACACTTCTCAGCTTATGTTTCCCTAGCTTGTGGTGCTGCCATGGTAGATGTTTCAAGCATGTAAATGGATGAGTTTTTCTAGCATTACGCTCAGAGAATAATATTATTGGCTTATAGGTGGTGGGGGCAGTCGAGGGTGGGGGAGTTACTACAGTGACCCAGTCAGAGATTAAATCATGCCATGTGAAAGGCCCTCTCAGAGGCTAGTCTAGACCACTCGTTTTATAGGTGAGGAAACAAGCCAGGGAGGTTAAGTGATTGTTCAAAGTCACCCAGGTAATAAACATCAAGGGTGGGAGTTGAACCCATATCCTTTTGCTCAGAGCAAGTACTCTTCTTACTCTGCCATCCTGTCTCTTATAGCTTTTAAAAAGAAAAATGAGGGGGGCAGCTAGGTGGTACAGTGGATAGAGCTCTGCCTTAGAGTTAGGAGGATCTGAGTTCAAATCCGGCCTCAGGTGCTTGACACTAGCTGTGTGACCCTGGACAAGTCACTTAACCCCGATTGCCCCCCCCCCCAATTAAGTAAATAAAAATAAAAAGGAAAATGAGCAATACTGTGCGTACTGCATGAACAAAGGGCTTGTTATTAAGGGACAGTTGTGCTAATCTCTGCCTATCTGGAGAATCCTGTTGTCACTGATAGGACACAATGAGGACCAGCAGCCATGATAGTCCTTTTAAGTGAGAATAGCTCATTCATTCCCAGTTCACATAGAACAATTTTAAAGCAGAATCTCAGAAGGAAACTTAGAAACCATCTGGTCAAAACTGAACCAAGGTCAGAAATCCCCTAGATAATATCCCTTGACAAGTGCTCATTCAGTCTTTATTTGAAAGGCTTCAGTGATAGGGAGCTCAGCATTTCCCCAGGCAGCCCATATATCATCTTTACACAACTCAGATTGTTTGGGAATTTTTTCTCACTTCAAGCCTAAATCCATCTCTGTGCAGCTTTCTCCCATTATTCTTAATTCTTCTCTATGGAGCCAAGCAGAACAAATCTGATGCCTCTTTCACCTTACAACCCCTGAAATATTTGAAGAAAGTTACTGCATATCTCTACCCCACTCTCAATTTTTTCCATTCTATAGACTAAATATACCTTATTTCTTCAAATAGTTTTCTTACAGAGTGTTTTCCAGCCATCTTAGCTGCCATTATTATATTACTAAGAAATTGGGCATTAGGACCAAGACAAATGTAAAATTCTCTTTTCTATTATTATCTTTATTCCGTCTTGCTCTCTCCTTTTTTGTTATAAATTTGTTCTTTAGAGTACTCTTCCTGTCATGTAGAATGGCTCAGATTCTTTTACTTTAGTGATGTATTGAGAAACCATGGACAATTTGGGGGATAATAGTATAAAGGAAGGAAAGAATACACATTTATTAAGCACCTAGTGTATACCAGACACTGTGCTAAGCACTTTACAAATATAATCTTATTTGAGTCTCACACAACCTTGAGTGGTAGATGCTGTCATTAACCCTACTTTACGTTTGAGGAAACTGATTTGTTCAGGATCACATAGTAAGGAGATTGTGGGTATGACCACATAGATGAAGGCAGTTTGTATATCTTGTGTTATCCTTGGGAGATGTTATTTTAGCAAACAAAAGCAAATGGACCAATAAGTGCCCATCTACTGAGTACTGTTTTTTAAAGAAAATTTTTATTTTCATCATCTACTCAGTGAACACTGGAATTCAGATTAGTTTAGGATTTGTTGTAATACAAAGAGTCCTGGTCATGGAGTCAGGAGGCCTGGATTTGATTTCCAGGTCCACCATTTACTGTGTGACTTTGGTCAAGTCACTAACCTTCTCTCTGTCTCAATTTCCTTAAGTATAAAACAAAGATATTATTTTTACTATCCAGCATTGTGAGGAAAGCACTTTAAATCCACTTGTACTGTGTAAACTTTGAAGTGCTACATAAATTATTTATGGCTCGTTTGTTTACAAGAGATCGTTTGTTTACAAGAGATAATCTGGTGTGTGGTAGGTAGAATTCTGGATCTACTGGACAGAAGACTCTCAGTGTTTGAGTCTCTGTTCTGACACTTCCCATCTCTGTGCTCTTGGGCAGGTCATTTATGTAACCCTGCTTCTGGAAGCACCTGGGTCTAACACATGGCAGCTGCCATTTCTAGAATGTCTTATGCACTTTTCCTGAGAACAACCCTTTGAAATTGCTAGTGTTAAGTCCAGACCCCTCCAACACCTGACTTTTGCCTTCTGAAATGAATGTTCTGGAAAAGTGATAGGATTTATCCTCCTGTTCATCCTGGTCTATACAGCAAAGCAGTGCAAACAGTAAATAAACTTAAGACTTTAGTCCAGGCTCTTTTTATGAATTATTTCACCTTATTTCCAGTGTGTATGTGTTTGGCTGCCACTACAACCCAAACAGACTTTCTTTTTCCAACAGAGTGAGTCAAAACATTGTAGCATTTGTGTGTGATTTATTTTTCCACTTGGTAATTTTCATTTACATTCTTGAATGGCTGGTGGTTTGCAGCAGAGCATACATTTAATTAAAGTTTCCATGGGCTTAACATGTCTTACACCCACTCATCATTTCTACATTTGATAAAAGTTTCCACCTAATACTTTAGCTGGCTGGCTTATTGCCCTGAATTGGTTTTAAGTAGGTGTTAAAATTAGACATTTAATACAAAGAATTCTTATATTTTGACCCTCATGGGCATGATTTCCGATTATTTTTTGTTAAGGCATTTTCAGAGACTCAATCAACAAACAAATATGTGTTAATTGTCTTTTATGAGCCCAGGACTGCTTTTTTGTTTGTTTGTTTGTTTGTTTTTTGCTAGGCAATGGGGTTAAGTGACTTGCCCGGAGTCACACAGCTAGTAAGTGCTATGTGTATGAGGCCGGATTTGAACTCAGGTCCTCCTGAATCCAGGGCTGGCACTCTATCTACTGTGCCACCTAGCTGCCCCAAAAATGTTTTTTGTTTGTTTTGTTTTTTTAAGGCAATTGGGGTTAAGTGACTTGCCCAGGGTCACACAGCTAGTAAGTGTCAAGTATTTGGTCTGAGGCCAGATTTGAACTCAGTTCCTCCTGACTTCAGGGCCGGTGCTCTATCCACTGTGCCACCTGGCTGCCCCCCCGGACTGTTTTAATTAGGGAATAGTTAGTTGGACAAAGAAGAAATCCATGTGGGCTGGAATAGTTAAGAAAGGAGGGAAGACTTAAGCTGGGCCTTTAGGAACAATCACTCTTTGAGAATAGGTAACGAAGAGTGGGGTAGGATGGAAGAAAGGAGGAAGAGAAAGAGAGACAGAGAGAGACAGACACAGAGAGAGGATTGAGGTGTTATAGTGAAAAAAAGGATCATAAAAGCAGAAGCGAGCCAGTTTGTATAGTTAGAATAACCAAATGAGTAGAGCATTTATATTAGAGAGTAGTGTGGGCCAAAGGGTGGGTGAGTAGATTGCAGTCAGATTATAAGAGCCTGCCTTAAAAGCTGGGCAAGAAGAAATTTTTTTGAATATGTCAAAATTTTCTTCCTTTCCATTTTTACATCAGAGATGCAAAGGAAAATATTGATAGACTGCAGTGAACTCCTGTAGCTAGACTCTAGTGGCTCTTCTGTCAAAAGCTCCCAGGGTTGTAACCTAGTCAGTTCTGTCTCTGAATGCCCTCTCACCTAGAATCAAGAAAGAATAAACACAAGAGACTGGAGAAATAGAAATATATTCAGAGATACTGACTGCTGCTGAATTTTACCTCCCAGCATTTCTTCTTTTTCACATTTCTTCTTTCTTCTGTCACTTCTTTTTTACTTTTTCCTGGTAAGAAAGAGAGAGAGAAATCTTCCTCACAGCCATTTACAAGTCTTCTTAGTTCAGCCCATTAATCAGTTAAAAGGCTTTTTGTTACTATGCTGAGGATATGTGAGAGTGTTTTTTATGGGAGGCTGGGGAGGGGTGCCTATTCCTGAAAGCAGGTTCACTGAGCCTCCAACTGGGTTTATAGGAGATGGAGCAAATTGCTCATTCTCTAAGAACTGGGACTTTATTGTCCAGTCTCCTCATTGTAGGTAGATGAAGGAAGCTGATCTTTAGAGAGATTAAATGACTTTCTCATGGTCCCATAGTTTCCAAGACCGCAAGTGATGTTTAAACTTCAGTCTTCTCAGGCAGCTGTTTCTCATGATTGTAGAGAATTACTTGAGATCATGTATTACTGTAGATCTCATTTGAGCATCTTAAGACAAAAATATGTGATGTTTCAGGGATTTTCTTTAATATATTTTGTTTGTTATTAATAGAGGAAATGCACGCAGAAATCTGTTATGCAGAATGTCTACTACAGAAAGCAGCACTGACATTTTTACAGGTAATGAATATTGTGGGATTCAGTGTCCATTTGTTGCTTTTCATTTTAACAGCAAAGTGCAGCTAGGACTATCATGATAGCTGTTTGAATGAACATTTTGTAGGGCCATTTGTTAATTTTAATGGGTGATACGAAGAAAGGTATTGCTAGAACCAGTGGTATTCTCATTTTTTTGGGTTACCACTTCTCCCACCCTCCTCTGCCCCCCAAATACCCAAGAATAGCTTTCTCATTTGCATTCATTGTCTTTAGTCTGATTTTAAACTCCATATGGTGTTAATCACTACCTTTTAAATGAAAACCCTTATAACTACCCCAATTTCTAGGCTCTTTCATGCGTGAATGTAGTGGAGTAATTGCTCTGGCACATTATTAAACTCTTCTTTTTCATTATTTTGTGTACTTGTAAGAGGCTAAAAGCACTCTGGTTAAGTCTTCCTTATTTTAAAAGTTATTTGCTCCTTTATCTGATGGAGAACGATTTTGATAATTAGAAGTGACCAGCCCTTGTTTTTAGAAGTTCTTTAAGGTCCCTTTTAAGTGGAATGGGAATTAGTCATGTCATTTTAAGCCCAGAGAACTGGCTAGAAACTCTTTTTAGATTGGCTAATTAGCAAGTTACCCACATCATGGAGACTTTTAAATGGTATTTCTTCTCAGCTTATTTCAAGTGAAGATTAGACGTAAATAATTGTTTATTTAGACCTAGCACCATTTGAATCAACCCTCACCCAAACTCCTTTAAATTTCATTTGTATGTATTTGCATAAGCTGGTAGTTGTAATTTTTGTACTTCTCATGTTTATTTTCATGTTTATGCATTTTCATTTCTTCATACTTGTTTTATTCTTATTTTGGGAGAATATGATTTAATTGTAGAGAACTCCCTGTAAAGAAACTCCTTTTGCCTATAGAAACTGGCAGTTTGCCCAAGGGTACTGTAACATTGAGTCTCTTGCTTAGGTTCACACACACAGGAGTGCCAGGAGTAGGACTTGAACCCAGGTCTTCCTGACTCTCAGATAGGCACACTGTCCTCTATGACTAGGTGCCTCTCCTTTGGGGAGAGAATTTGAATAAAATTATTCAGTACACTGTGGTGCCCTTGATGAAGAAAAAGAGTCTGTACTCTAGAGCATTGTTACTTCTGCTCTAGGAACAGCTGCAGCAGCAGTCACTAGGTTCATCACTACCTTTCTGCTGTTTTAAAAACCAAATCTTTGACATGTTGGAGAATTGTGGCAGGTACAGTGAGGTGAGAAAGATGAGAAGAGATATAGGAAGGGGAGCGGAAGTATATTTCATAGAAAGCAAATCTTCCTGATATAAACAAAAGGAACCTCAGTCCAGGAGTCTTGATTAGAGACATTATACTATTTCAGACTCACCCTTAAAATGTTCGTTTTTTCTACCTTACTAATTGCTTTTCTGTTTAGTAAAGATATTCTTAAATTTGACTCAGTTGTCTAAATGACTAGGTCTATGGCTTCTTGGGGGAAATCTCTAAGCCCTGGTAGTAGTATGTTATAAAGTTGTTGAAAATAACTGAGGGTTATTGACTGAACAATGTTGACATGGCATTTACCATGGAATCCTTAAAAATGTTCTTAATGTGTTATTTTCAAAATTGGAGGTTCAGATTTGCATAACTAGTTCTTGGTAGCTATTTGAGGACTCACAAGCTAAATTGTAAAGTGAAAAGTGGGTATTACTTGAAGGAAGTCCTCTTATAGTTCAGAAAATTCTTTCCTGGCCAAAATTGCATTTGTTTAGTTGAAACTCTCAGATTTTTAAGTGAGCAGTAATACTTTTGTTTATGATAATTGTGCAGAAAGTGGCAGACTCTGAGTCTATTGGTACTGTAGTTTGAAATGTTACTCATTTAAATGAAAATGGTAGAATTAAATTGGATGCTTTTAACTTTAGTGGGACACTTAGGTATACAAGAAATTAAAGGCTGGAGTCTTCCCAACATTATTATAAAATAAAATTACTGTGTTTTAGAAAATTATAATGAAAAGATAGGATTAAGAATCAGAAGACTTGAATTTTAGTTCCATTGGGTCCTTGTTTTTTTATCGGCAGTGGTGTGCTAATAAACATTTAATAATTGGCTTTCCAAGAAAACAAAATGTACGCATGGCACACTTTTAAAGTTTAATCTGCATTATTAACATTTTCTCCATCACTTCCAAAAATCACGATAATCAAGAAGATAATAAATCAAGCTCTGATTTGTAGCTTTCTGATCCCTGAGAAATAAATAATCACACTGAAAATTTAACAGTTGGCTCTCAATGATAGTATGAGTCTGCTGCAGCCCACTTGTGTGTTATGGATGGGGTGTACTAGGTGATCTCTAAGGTCCCTTTCAACTTTGGCATTCTGACTCTACCAGTGTGAAACACTGTAGAAAAAAAATCTCCTATGGCACCATCTACTGGTGATGAACTTCCTTCAAGCAGTTATCTGTTATAATTTACTTAAAGCATTGTAATAGGATCATAGAAATTTGCATCTGAAAGGGACCTTAGAGAAACTTCTAATGCAGCACCCTACTTTTATAGAAATGAGACCCAGGGATATTTGATTGAATTGCCCAAAGAGGATCATGAAGAGCTCACACTACCTTAGGACTGGAAAGGATGTTAAACAGAAATCACTTACTAATAAAAGTCTCCTTGAAGGAGAAACATGTACAGTTAAAAGTAAGTGCTGTTTATTGGTGAGAAAGAGAAAAGTTGACCTTTCAGCATATCCTTTAAACCTGTTAGAATGCTGTTTGAATGCAAAAAAAAAAGTTTTACAATTTTAAGTTCATGCTCTGCCTAAAAAGATTCACAATCCCTGACTAATAAAGATCACTGTTTTAGTAATTTAAAAGTGACTGATTTGTGAGTAATTAATGCTGAAATGCACTTGTAAACATTCCTTCCTTCCTCTTCCCTTTCTAGCTTAGGGAAAAATAATGAAGAAACTATTTCAAAAGGTACATGCAAAAAATGCTTTCTTGAAAAACTTTGTCTCCAAAGTTAACATTTTGATATGCTAGGCACAGCAGTGGAGACAGTGCAAGGATTTTTGTGTGTGTGTGTGTGTGTGTAATGACCTAATTATTCATTAAATGGTTTTCAGGATGAAAACATGATCAACTTCATCAAAGGTGGACTCAAAATTAGAACAAGTTACCAAATATATAAGTAAGTTAATAATTCAAATATTTTGAATAAATGATTGTGATTCAGGCCATTTTTAAAAACATTAGTTCCCACAGCATTAATAATTTAAGTATAGTAAACTTTTCATTTTTAAAAATTAATTTTTCTTCCTTTAAAGCTTTGAGATATATCGAGTTGGTACTGGGTTTTTTGATAGCTAAGCTAGTGGACAAAAGCAATATTTGTTTTTGTGAAACATTCAGCCGACTGAATGTATGTTGTCTATCTGATGACTGGACTGGTGAAGGCATAAAGGTCATCAGGTGGGCTTTAGAGTAATGATTTTTTGGCCATGCAACTGTTACTGACCATCTAGCAACTTGTAGAGGGGTTACATCTATATCAGTGGAGGGAATACTCATTAAATCATGGACCCTTGAAAAGTAATCAAGTAATAATAATGCATCTTCACTGATATTTGGTGATTGAAGATTGATGACCTAACTGTCTGATGGTACTGAGTCAATGTGTCAACTCTGTGCAGAAGGACTTTATATCATTGGAAGTATTGTTATAAGGAGGTCTTAAAATTAGGTAATTTATGTTGGTAACTGACAGCATTATTATTGATGAATAACTGCTATTATTTATTCAGTCCTAAAACAGTGGTAAGAACCTTTTGAAAGCAAGTTTGGGCTGAAGCATACAGTGTAAGTTAGTCACATTTGCCAATGTACCCACGCAGTATGGTAACCCTATTCATAAGACTTGTGTATTAATTACCTAAAGTTGCCGTGATAGTAGTGACTGTATTCTGTCAGTCTTCAGGTTGATCACTACTACCTTGGGTCTTAAGCTAAACTTCTTAGAGGTCAGTGCTAATGAAGCCATGGTCTTTGACTCATTATCTACATGGACCAGTTATCTTTGTTTCATTCTGTAGCTACAGGTTACACCTCTAATTTTTCTTGGTTGTCTAGACAGTGATGATCTACAAGGAGGACCAGGTAAAAGCGTCACCAGATCAGAGGAGAAGCACAGTACTGTGATAATAATTCAGCGTGCATTTCTCCCTTATGGTTCGCCAGCATCACTTTGTGTATGTGAAGTACATTAATCTAGAATCAGCCAATGTAGGTCATCCAACAATTCAAATATCAGTAATTACGTCTCTTAATTTTCTCAGAGATTGTTCATAGTATTTTAATTCAACAAACATTTTGTGTGCAAGGCACAATGTTAGGTACTGTATTTACAAAGAGCAAAAATGAAACAGTATCTGTCTTCAAGGCACTTACATTCCCCAGGGGATTGGAGGGTGAGTGGGAAGACAACGTATACCAGAAAATTAAAAAAAAAAAACAAAATGACAAAGGAATTGCAAGACAGAGAGACAAATAATTGGGAGAGTGGAAGGGGCAAGTTTGATCAGAAGAAGCCTCATGTTGGAGGTGACACCTGAACCTTTAAAGGAAGCTAGGGATTTTAAATAGAATCCGTGTCTCTCTCCTCCCTCGTCCTTTTAATGTCAGGTGGTAAGGGCCTTGCAAAATCTCACTTTCAGGCTTTTTTTTTGAGGTTTGAAAAGGAAAAATAAAAAAAAAAATTAAAATGGAAAGGAAAAGTTAGGGAGATAGGCCTTGTGGAAAAGAGCAACACGAGAGCATAGATGAAGGATAATTGTGGAAATAACCACTTTTCTTCCATTTATAATCCCTCTCCACCAAACCAGAATAACTGGATTGAGTCACTTTAGGGCCAAAGTGATTAGAGCACTTACGTACTGAAATTCAGAACTTACCGATGGTGTCTTTCCTGGTCACTTCTGAGAGGAATATGATTTCAGGCCACTGCAGTAGTTTTTTCCAACTGTGTGTCTGAAGAAATCAAAGATCTTTCTCTTTCTACCTCCCATAAAACTTCCTGTTAGTGATAGTGGTGTTCCTAGATGAATGATACATGGAACTCTCATAATTGACGCTCTCCCCCCCCGTATTTACAACTGAAATGTCAGACTTGATAAAGGATGCTGCTTAGAGTCACGTTATGTGCTGATGGTATAAGGTGTCTGCTGATTTAAGAAGTGGAAGCTCCCCCTCCTTGGTGTGATTATAATTTAGCAATAGTTGGAGTAGTTTCATTATAGCTTCAGCAATTTGAAAATCCCCTTAATATTTTGGAGGGTAGACTTTGTTATGTCATATGCAAATATGAAATTTGATTTGAAATTAGGTTTGTGTTAAAGTGTCACACAAATGGAATATTTTTTATTTCTTTTCTTCAATCCAGGGAATGTTATTCTGTTCTGCAGATGACTCAGGGCAACAAAAAACAGAAGGAAACCTATTATCAATTTGAAGGGGGAGTGAAGCTTGGAATAGGAGCATTTAATTTGGTAGGATATATTTATATCTATACCAGAACCTTACTGTACGAAATGATGCCACCCTTTCTCTTTGATTCCACCTGGATTGCTGTGCACAGACAGGGCCAAGCGAGCCCGCAGGGCGGTACTGAAAGTTTTGCATCATCAGGCTTTTCACAGGTTTTCAGTACTTTCGTTGTTGCCCCTGCAAGGTTCAAAACCAAAAAAAGCTTAAAGGAATGAAAGTTGAGCATAGAATTTCAAGAAGCATGAGACTGGGAGTCAGAGCTTTTTCTTAATGAAAAATACTTGTTGCTTTGCTAATGAAAGTGGTTGAGAGAGTAGAGAAGGTTAAGAAGAGTGTGAAGAACTTAGGAGAGGTGATTGGAACAGAATGTCTGAATAGACCAGGTGTCCCAAAAGTCTTAATGCAGTTTAAAGTTATTAAAGCACAAAATTGTACTGAGACTTATGGGACATCCTGTCTGTATCTTTGGTACTATTTGGTAAGTCTTTGCATCAACCCAGGAAAGCCAGTTTTAAAGAAACTATGTTGGAAGTGGGCTTAGAATGAGAGGGCAGGTAATTAACATTCAGGCTAGTTGGAGAATAAGCATGTCCTGGGAAAGTTTATGATCTTGTATTTTTTTTCTGAGGTTCTTGGTTGTACATCTGCTTCAGTGAAAGAATTACTTGTATAACTGATCACCTCTTCTCTTGGTGGCATTCATTAATCTTCACTTAATTTTATTTTTTCATATTAATGAAAAGGCTTTGAGCCCCGTTAGACATTTTACAATTGTCTAATACTTCTTTATCCACTTTGTTCTTCTTTCAGATGCTATCTCTTTTACCAGCAAGAGTTCTCCGACTACTAGAATTTATTGGGTTTTCTGGCAACAGGGTATAAATTTAACTTTTAAGTATTCTCAAAGGGAAGATAAATCCCTTCTTCATAGAGCTTATCAACTTAGCAATTAAGATCAGTCAAAGGGATGTCAGTTATTGATCATATTTTTAGTAGTTGCACACGGTTGTTAATATGACATCTAGTACGGTGCCTAGTACATAGTAGGTGATTGAAAAATATTTTTGATTGATTAAATATGCAAACTAATCTTTTACCCCTTTAAAGCTAGGCTTCTATATAAAAATAATATTTTTGGCAATATGCTGATTTCAGATTATTCTAGGTGGTAAATAATTTCAAAAATACTTCTAAGGTTCAAACAATATATGATATACATGGCAACAGTACTTAACATACCCTTGCTCTTATATGTTGTATCACAACACTAAGTGAGAGAACCCTTTTCCCCCTGAATTTTATTAATTTTAGTGATGCTTATTATGTTTTTTTACTATAGGTATAGCTATTATAGGGTGTAATTGGTTTATGCATCATACCTCTCATCTAAATATTAAAAACGGTTGCCCCATTACAAAATATGTGTTCAAGAAAGCAAGCACAGAGAAACTTATTTCAATAAGTTTTAATTTCTTCATCACTTTATTTGTAGTGCTTGTCATATATATTGTGGTGGGAGGGGACACACACCAAAAGTCTTACGGCATTTTATAACTTTAATATCCATACTGTTCATATCTGTCTGAGAAACATTATTCTTCTGAAATGAGTATTGGTTTTCTCCCCTGAAACTGCTAAATCAATTAGTATAAAATACTTGTTAGACTTCCTTTATGCTTTCAAAAAACAAACGAAACAGAGTATTTTCTTTGTGTTAAAGAGTGACAAAAAATACATTATCATCATATAAAACAGCCATGGAAGCTATAAACGATATTGATGCAAACTGTGAAAGTGGTAGAAAAGAAGAGATTGATATTTTTAAATTTTTTGAATAGAAATGACTTGTAGTTTATTATGAAGATCTATAAAGCAGATAATTAGATTTTTGTTCTCTGCAGGAACTGGGCCTTGTACAGTTGCGAGAGGGTGCATCTGGATCCAGTTTGCGGTCTACACTGTGCAGTTTAACTTTACTCTTATTTCATACTTATGTCTCACTAGTCCTTGGTAAGGATTAAATTGCATTTTGACTTTGCTGAAAGTTGGTTATTTTTCATGAAGAGAGTAAAAATCATTGAGAAAAGTCAGTAAGGAGAAATAGCAGCAGATAAATATATCTTGTTAGATCTGTGTACTAAGACTGAGAAAGCATCATGGGAGTAAGCAGTTAAGTTTTAATCAGATGTGCATGTAGCCACGTGTGGTCTGAGAACAAGGGCTGTTTTATTTTTGGTTTTATGTCCCCCAGTACCTAGCATAGTACCTGGCACAGAGTAGGTGCTTAATATATGCTGATTGATTGATTAGATTGGTTTAGTCTTATTTGTAGTAATAAATGCCAGGCTTTTCTTGTAAAGGAGTCTACAAAGTGTTTGCATGCTTCTAATCACTTGATTTCTAGTTTTATGTTTTTGTTTTTTTTAAATTAGAGCTGCAAGCATAAAGTTGAAAGTGTGATGATCATGACTGCCAGTAAAACAAAAAAGAATCAGATTTAGAATTTAAGAGCAGCTTCCTACATTACTTTTAGTCATTCTGCCCTGAGAAAATCTTGCGCTAAAAAAGTCCAGTGATATTTATCTTATTTCCCAAATGGAAACTAATATGACACAATAATAAAGTTTTTCTCCTTTCATATGAAATTACCAGTTCATTAGGCATACATCTTTGCAGTAATGAAGTTTGAGGTGTAGGTTGTAAGCACATACTGTGTTCTGTGGAGACTGAGTGTTGTTTTTGTGTTTGTTGTGTGTTGAATTTCTAGGCACAGGAGAAGCCAATATTGAGGAAGCTGAGACTCTCCTTGAACCCTATCTCCAGAAGTTTCCAAATGTATGCTCAGTACTTTTACGTTGCTTTCCAGTCACAATTAGTCAACTAACTCTGGAGTTATTGAACAGATTTTTTTTTCTTTCTCTCCAGGGCTCTCTAATTTTGTTTTATTCTGCAAGAATAGAGCTACTCAAAGGGAATTTTGAAAAGGTAATTAATTTCAGATTTTACTTCATTACTTTTGATGTTAGTTTTTCCTTGACTTTTTTTTTGCCGCTCTGTAAGAAGTGGGGAGTGTGTGTGTGTGTGTGTGTGTGTGTGTGTGTGTGTGTGTGTGTGTGTGTGTGTGTGTGTGTGTTAGGAACACTTTTAATGAGCAGCCCAGGATAAGAAGTATAGGAGTACATGTACATAGATATGGAAATAGATTTCACTCAACAAAGAGACAGGAGGCAAACAGGAAAAGGGAGAAGGGGGGAACAAGAGGGAGGGTAGATTAAGGAGGGATTAGTACTAAGCAAAATAAACTCTTGACTAAAGATGTACAAAAACATTTATGGCTCTTTTTGTGGTGAAAAAGAATTGGAAACTGAGAGAGTGCCCATCAGTTGATGAATGACTGAAAAAGTCATACTGTATGATAGTGATGGAATCTATCATGCTATAAGAAGTAACATAAGAATTGGTTTCAGAGAAACTGGAAAGACATGTATGAGCTGGTTTAGAGTGAAGTGAGCTCAACTAGGTGAACAATTTATACAGTGACAGTAATGTTATAAAGACAGACAGCTTTGAAAGAATTAGGGACTCTGATCAGTGTAGTGACCATCTGCAATTCCAGAGAGCTCATGATAAAACCTGCTACCCAACTGCTGATAGAGAGGTAAAAGACAGTGCAGAATCAGACATTCTATAGGTTGTTTTTTTTTTCAGATATGGCTAATGTAGAAATTTATTTTGCTTAACTATATCTGTTTGTAGCAGGGATTTTGTTTTCCTTTCTTTCTCAATTGTGGGTGGAGTGTGAGAGGGAGAAAAGGCAGATTTTTGCTGATTGAAAAGATAAAGTTTAATTTAAAAAATAGTACTTGGCTGTATTGTTTCATTTAAGGAGAAGAAGCTGTTGTATTATTGAATGATTAAATGAGTGGTAGTTTTGTTCTTCTTGCACAAAATATTGTATGAATTTTCCCATTTATTATTTATACTGTTGTCTGATATCTACAGGATCATATTTATAACGTTTAATTGTAGGCACAGGTGATATTCCAAAACTGTATTAAATCTCAGGAAGAATGGAAACAGATTCATCACCTCTGTTACTGGGAACTGATGTGGTGTTATACATTCCAGCAAGAATGGCTTAAGGCATATCATTATGCTGATCTGCTTTGCAAAGAAAGTAGATGGTCCAAGGTAAGGAGAATGAGCACATTTACCTCTCGGGAGAATCACAGTGTATCCTTTTGTTTGGTTGGACATCATTTAATTGAGTAGTATGTCAAATCCTGGCTTCATACATGGAGTTGATAAAATCAGCTGATAATTATTGAGAACCAGCATGGAATGGTAGAAAGAGTACTTACCGACCATGGAGTCAAAATACCTGGGTATTCGACCTAGTTCTACCTCCTGCATTTTCTCATTGTTGAGGAAAAAATTGATTGTCTTTAAAAGAAACTTATAAATGTCTGGGAGCATCGATGTATTGTATTCTATTATTCTTTCACTGAAGTGAACTGTTATTTGTGTTTTAGAACAATTATTGGTTTAGCAGAGTCAATTGAAACTGGTCATTATTTCTCATTTGGTGATATTTTAAAATTTCCTGACAGTCTTTTCATTTCTATGTGGCTTCTGGAAAATTTGCACATTATTCTTGAAATGCAGTATTGTGGAAATTCCAGGAATTTAGAATTGCATTAAAATTGACTTCTTTTTCTTTTCTTTAAAGGCAACATATGTGTTTCAGAAAGCTGCAATCCTAAGTATGCTCCCAGATGAAGAGGTGAAGCCAACTGGAGAGAATATTGTGTCTCTGTTTAGGTAAAGAGGGTATTATCACTGCAACAGGAGGCCACTTTTTAGGGGCAGGCCCTATCTATCATTACACTGATATATCCCCTACCATGGATTTTTCTCCCCTTCCCTAGGACAATCCTTCATTTGGAGGAGGAACCTCTAACCTCTTTAGTGCAGTAAACAGAATCTTACTCCAAACCCTTAGCCTTGACCAAGAAAAAAAACCAAAGAAATTCAAAGAATCAAAATGTTTGTGTTCTGTTTCCTAATAGGGCTGCTGAATTCTTTCCTGCCTTTGGCTTTGTTTTCCTTCTTTCCTTTTTAACTTTATGTGGTCATTGTCCACGTGTATATAGATAGTTCAAGTTAGGCTGGTTTCACTTCGCATCACCTCTTATACATGTTTCTATGTTTCCTTGTATTCTTTATGTTTATAATTTTAATTTTGTTGTTGAATCATTTCAGTCATGTCTGATTCTTCATGACCCCATTTGGGGTTTTCTTGGCAAAGATACTAGAGTGGTTTTCCATTTCCTTCTCCAGCTCATTTTACAGATAAAGAAGCTCAGGCAAACAGAGTTAAGTGACTTGCCCAGGGTCACATGGCTAATAAGTTATAGCACCATAACATTTCATTACATTTTTCAGCTGTTTTTGCTATTACAAAGGGAGTACATACTCATATTTTTGTACACATGGGTCCTTTTTTACTTTTATTTTTTGATCTGGTTTTTGCAGTAGAATCCTAGCAGTGGAATTCCTAGGTACAGATCTATCAGTTTTGTGATTCTTATTGCAGTTTCTCTAATAGCACATTATGGGATTATAGATTTAGAGCTATAAGGTAGTTGACTAGTAATGTAATCCAAACCCTTCATTATAGATGAGAAGTTGAATGCCTTGTTCAAAGTTGCATAGGCAGTAAATTACAGAGCCAGAATTTAAACCATGATGGTCTGATTTAAATCCATGCTTTTTCCTTGTACTAACTCTGTGGCCCCTTTCCCTGCAGTCCTGCCAACATTAGTATTGATCATCATCATTATTATTTTTGCCATTCTCATGTGTATGATGATATCCTAAGATTGTCTTGAATAGCAGTTCTTGGATTATGGGTGAATTTGAACATTTTTTTCATGTGATTATTATTAGATTGTTTCTTAGATGATTATATTTTTACTCAAGTATTTTGGGGATTTGTTTTTCATCAGTGTGGGTCTTCCTTTTGCGTATACAGATCACATCCTTACTAGATATTTTAGGTGGTCTGTGATAATTAATGTGCTGGAAAATCCATCATCCTCCATCATATCCTCTGATGAGCCTCTCCAAACTTAGCCTAGGCTGGTCTCTATACGACACGCTCATGGAATCTGGTCTTGGGTCCTTTCTCAAATTCTTTCCAAATTGTAGGAACTGCTGGAGCTTGCTTTTGTAGCGTGTTGTATACACAGCTGTCAGTGACTCAGAATCAGATCAGTAGAGGGGAATTGACTATTATATTGGGCTTTAAGTTGCTTCAAGTAAAGCATTAAAAAAGGTTTTTGTGATTATGTTTTAAAACCATGGAATATTCTCTCTACACTGTCTTCCTCTAATGTCCTATCATAGCACTGAGCTTAGCTCTGCATTTTCTTTTCCCTCTTTTTTAAAAAATTTTCAGTAATGTTTCATTCATTTATCTAGTATTTATTTTTTCTGCCTCTTATCTCCCCTCCATCCTACTGGAAGGGAGAGAAAGAAATATAAAACCCTTGTTACATTGTTTATCATTCTTTGTTCTTGAAGAAGACCAAAATGACATCACTATGTTGGTGTCAAGGTACAGTGTGTCCAACTATGGCTGATCAGACCAATGTGAGCTTGGAAGGCTCTATCACAGGTCAGGAACAAATAACCCACATGAACATTTGGAGTGGATATGTCTCTAAATTTGCACATCTCATGAGCAACTGCAAATCTGCTTTGCTCATAGAGCATGGTGCCTTCTTTAATATGGGTGCACCATGTTGGGCAGTGCTTTGCCATTGTCTCTCATGTCAAGCAATCAGTTCCAAAGTTCTTCAGAGAGACCTTGAGAGTGTCCTTGTATTGCTTCTTCTGACTTCCATGTGTGTGCTTATTTTGTGTTGATTCTCCATAAAAATCTTTTGTACCATATAAGTACAGTATACTCAAGCAAAAAAAAAAGTCCCACATTGGCCACATCTGAAAATGTGTGTCTCATTCTGCTTGTTAACCCATCACTTATTTGTTATGAGATGGGCAGCAGTCTTCATCTTCATTCCTCTGGAATCATGGTTAATCATTGTGTTGAGTTTTAAGAAGCAGTCTTTCAGAATTGTTCGTTTTTATAATATTGATGTTATAGTATTAATCATTTTCCTGGTTCTGCTCACTTCACTCTGTATCAGTTTGTACAGGTCTTCTTAGGTTTCTCTGAAATTATCTTTATTAATTTCTTAAAGCATAGTAGTATTTCATTATCGTCATATATCCTAATTTGTTCAGCCCTTCAATCGATGGACACTCTTCTCCTCCATCACTCCCCCCCTCCTTAGTTTCTAGGTGTTTGTTACTACAAAAGCAGTTGTTATAAATATTTTTGTGATATAGGACATTCTTTCTTTGATCTCCTTGGAATATAGGTCTGGTAGTGGTATCTCTGGGACAAAGAGCATGCATGTAACATTTTGGGCATAGTTCCAAATTGCTCTCTGGAATGACTGGAGAAGTTCCCTCCACCAACAATGCATCATCATGCCCGTTTCCCTGCAGCCCCTCCACTCTGGGTCTGTGTTTTCCAAGACTTTGCTACTGTAGTTAACATCTGGCCAGGCTCATCACCAGGATGGCTTCAAGGTGATGAATCTTATAGCCACAGCAGCTCGCAGAGCAGATACCAGGCTAGAGGGAAATTGCTGCAGTGGTGGGAGTGCCTGCCCTAGGGAGTATTGAAGCCAAACAAGCATCCAGCCCATTCTTCTTCTGTGCCAGACCCTCTGCTGAGCACTGGCAAGGTTCAGAAGACAGCAGAAAGCAGTCCCTGGCCTTAAGGAGTGTACTTTCTTATGGGGAAGGCAGCAGGTAAATCACTAGATACGTGCAAGGTATATGCTGAGGAGATGAAAGTAATGTGAAAGAGAAACTACAAAGTAAAAAAAAATCTCCCAAGACTGCCCTATCTCTCTTCATTTGAGTGGTTCTGTTAATTCTGTGAAATCTTTTATAGCACAAGAAAATGATTTGTTGGGGGCAGCTAGGTGGTGCAGTAGATAGAACATGGCCCTGGAGTCAGGAGGATCTGAGTTCAAATTTGGCCTCAGACACATAACACTTACTAGCTGTGTGACTCTGGGCCAGTCTCTTAACCCCAATTCCCTCACCAAAAAAAAAAAAAAGGTCACTTTGAGAGGCTGAATATGTACGTTCTGCCTTTCCAGAGGCCTTCATTTCCTTAAGATTGATTGATATGAACTAAATAGATAATGATAGATAATAAATAACTTGGGCTTAAATTAGTTGACAAATACTCTTTTGAGCTGCTTTATTCTACAAATCTTTATTAGCTTTGCAGGTGAATGCAGTGGCTAATTCTGGTAGCTAATTCCCTCTCCTCTCATGACACATATATGGTCACATGAAGAAAATTCGAAATGATTTTTGAACCTTTTAGAAATTGCTGCTCTTTGTAAGGTCATAAGCAGATTGCTACCTGTAAAACTGTTTTTGATGTTAGAGACCTTAACACATTAAGTCAAATGATAGGACATAGACTTGCAGATATTTGTTTTTTAATTGTCTTTTTTTTTTTTTTTGTGGATTGGCAATTCTTACAGGCAGGTGGAGGGCTTGAAGCAGAGAATTGCTGGCAAATCTATCCCAACAGAGAAGTTTGCAGTGAGGAAGTCCCGGCGTTATTCCAGTGCAGCCTTTCCCGTAAAGCTGATATTACCTGCTCTGGTAAGCCAGAGCTTCTTTTTACTTGTTTGTGTCTGAAGACTAGAGTAAACTTGTATCTTAGCAGCAGCAAAAAATCATTTTCCATCTAATTTTTTCCTAGCAGTTCTATTCAATTTCACACATTTATAAAGGATTTCTATAACTTGCACATTTACATTCAGGTTTTTTTTTCTGTTTAAAAAAATTCAGGGATTTTCTTAATGGAAGCTACTCCCCAAAAGTAACTTCTCTTCACAAAATTATCACTTGTAACTTTAAAGCTTTAGTTTTTCTAAGGAGTTAAATTGCACACACAAAAAATGGAGAAATGCCAGCCATCAGCAGCAGTGCTGAGTTTAGGTCCTGTGGTTTTATTTTTATCTTGGGAATTGTAATGGGAAATCTTTTCTTCATGAGCTTTGTTTTAAGCATCTGGATTATCTCTTGTAAATTTAAATGTATACAGTTTATCTGGCTGGTACAATTTTGTTAGAAAGTGGTATCTGATCTGTACTTTTTTCATTTTTTATTTAGTCTGTCCTTTGTGAATTACTTTGGGAGCTGTTTGAGCTATATAAGTTAAATTGCATAGAATTGAGTACCCCTCTTAATTTTTAATATCTGTAAAGATGATCACACTTACTCTGTAGGTGTGAATTAAGGTTCACAAAGGACTTCCTCACAGCAGGCCTCTGGACAATATTGCATGTGTCAGTGTTGTTGTTATACAGATAAGGATATTGATGATGTTAAGATGTTAAGTTAAACTCAAGGTAATATAGGAAGTAGTTGAATGGAAGATGCAACCTCAGGTCCTCTAATTTCAGATCAGTAGCAAAGATGAATAGTTTTTCTTAATCCTGGTTAGATTTTTTTGTATGGCATTTTTCAGGAACAGCATAATATTGTAGTACCTTGTCATCCAACATGTGGCTTTACTGATCCCAGAAGTACAGGCTGCCTGAGATTTTTGGCTAAGTCATTTCCACCTAATCAGTTAGCACAAATTAGTCACTGCATGGTGTAGTTGAAAGCTAGAGTGCTAGACTTGGAGTTAGGAAGACCAGGTTCCAATCCCAACTTTAACACCTTCTTATAACCTTGGGTTAACCAATTGATTTCTTAGGATCTCAGTTTCCTCATCTATAAGATACTAATTTCAGTGATATGTGATGTTTATTTGTGTAGGTTCTCTTTCCTATGACAGATGGAAGCACTTTTATGACTTAATCAATGGTCTTAGAGAGCTGTTGTAATGAAAAAATTCATTACCCTGCAACTGCCTTGATGGTGAACCTCTTTGAACTTAGTCAGGCTGGTCCTCAGATGACAGACACAGTGTTCATCAAGGGGTCCCAACTCTAACCTTTTCCAGCTTGACTGGACCTGTCAGAGTTTATGCTCCTTTAGCTCTTGAGGACTGGGTGAGGATCTGAGACCCAGGTCACCTCCTAGGTTTTACTGCCGTCATTCACCATTGTGGAAGAAGGGAGAGATTTTCACTACCTTACTCACTGGGCTTTGAGAGAAACATGCTTTATACTCCTTATAACAATAAAGAAGTGGTCTTTTGGTGGGGGAGGGCCATTAGGGTCTACTCACCTCTGCAGTGTTTTAGTATCAAGCTATAATTCCTGAAATAATTAGTGTTTTTAATTGTACAAAGTTCAGCTGCACACACATGGATTTCTGATGATGGATTTTTTACTATTATTAGGTGTGGTGTGTGAGAAACACTTGTTGCCTTTATACTTTGAAGGGATTTTAAAAAGATTAGCTGGGATGGAACCTGCAGTACTCTCTAGATCTTTTAAAAATAGTACTTTTTAAAAATCAAAAACAGTACTATTAAAATAGACAGTGTTACAGTAAGATTTCGGGATGGTTCTTGGTGGTGTGTACTTCTGTCAGGAGTTTGAATATAAAGTAATATCACTGTTCAAATGATTTTTTCCTTTCAGAAGAAGATTGTTGTGTCCCCCTGCACCCCAACCCCACTTAATTCACTACATCTTGTTTTAACTGACTTTTTCATATTTTATTTAAAAAAAAATAGATGAGGCCAGAGTCATAACATGAGAATCATGGGATCATATATTTGGAGTTGGAATTAATCTTAGACATAATCCAGTCCTCCAACCCCCTTATTTTATAAATAAGGAAATTAAGAGCCAAGAAAGGTTGGTGGACTTATTTAGAGTCACATAGACAGATAAGTAGTAGGGCCAGGATTCAAACCCAGGTCCTAGGATTCTAAATCTTGCCCTTTTATTGTTGTAATATACAGTACCTTCCCAACAGTGTAAGAAGACAAGTATGGTGTGGGGACAGCCCTGGATTTGAAACAGCATCTTTCCTACTTAACTTCTCCATGTCCCCAGGCAACTCTTAAACAATAAAATGCAGAGAGGTCTTATAGCCAGGGCTAAATCTGAAATTTGAAATTAACCAGAATGCTCAGAGTTTTGTACATAGAGTCCTAAAATCTGTGTTCAAATCCTGGCTTTACCTAGATGACTTGGGAAAGTCACAAGGTCTCTGGATCTCAGGTTTTTGTTGTAGAATAGGGGTTGGGGGTGGGGGGGTGTCCCGTAGGCATTAAACTAGATAACCTCAGATGTCCCTTCAAACTTGAATTCTGTGATCCTCGTCCAGTCCTCAAGTTAAGTTACCTTTGCTCCATTTATGGTTTCCTTCTTTATTTAGTTTGTCTTAGTGGCCATTCCGCTTGCCACACCTGGGGGCAAGAATGGAGAGTGCCTCTTCTACGATATCTCTTCTGCTGTTTCTTCAGCTGTTGTAGCCACTGTGGCTGCTCACAGTTGCCAGACATAAGATTTTTTCCCCTTCTTGTTCTTGCATAGCTGAATTAAAGGTATGAGCTCATCCAAAACGTTTGACTTTTGACATTTGAAAAATCACTTGATTGTTGCTTTCATATTCTATGTAGTTTGATCAGAAATTATGACTAGAAAGTAACTGCAGAAAAACCTCAGTTAGTCATAGTGCTTTAGGACGGGGTCAGAAGATTACAGAATTCAAACATGAAGGGACTTCAGAGGTAATCTAGTGTAATCCTCTTCATTTTACAGTGAAAACATGAGACCCACAGGCACCATGTACAAAACTCTGGGCATTTTGCTTAATTTAAAATTCAGATTTACCCTGGAATATAGAACCCTTTGCAGTTTATTGTCTAAGAGCTGCCTGTGGACACTGAGAGGTAATTGACTTGTGCAGAATATGCTGTTTACCTGTATGTTAATTATCAACCTGTACGTTATTTCAGTGGTTTTTGTGTACAGTCTTTCTAAAATGTGCCCCTATTATAGTAAGGATCTAGTGGATGCTTGTTGATTGGTTGATTGATGTAACTGACTCTGCTTAGATGAAATACCCAAATATTCTAGCTTAAGTTTGGTAGAGGATACAGTGTAGGAGATTGGAATAAATGCATCCTGACTCTAGGGCATTCCCTGGAAGATGTTGGTCTTTATTCAGTTTCTGATGAAAGCTGTTTATTTGTAACTTTCCCCATGTTATAAAATTATAGTGTACCAGCCATAGCATACAAGGTATGACTTGCTGTATTAGATATGCATAATTATTGTTTCTAAAATAATTTTCTGAGTTGGATTCAGTATAGTTTTCAGTGCTGTGAGTGAAAATGATTTTTTTCCCTGCTGTTTTCTTCAAAGGCCTCTTTTCCAGTTTATCACTTCTCAATTTTAAATCTTTTCAGAGAATGTTACTTTTTTCTTTTCTTTAATTTTTTTTCCTACTTAGTGTTTATGTCCTTTAAGTATTCTCAGATAAAAAAGGGAAATATTTCTGGGAAGAAGCTCATTTGTTCTTCGTCAGAAAAAATTCTCATCTCTTGGCCTATTAAGTGTAACCTGCAGTGAGAGAGCATTAGTTTACATTTTCAGGAGCTGTCATTTAGCCATATGGTCTTTGAATAAACTAGTTTTCCACATATTGGATTACATTACTGGGCTGCAACATGTTTTAATGATATAAAAGAACATGAGCCCAATAAAATATTCCTAATGTTCATTTCAGTGAATTTCTTGGAAACATTTTATATAAACAACAGGCATACATTTTAAAAATGTGTTAAAAATCATCAACAGAAATCCAGATTATACAGAATCATTTATTATATAAGATCAGTTAAATATGATTCTTGCCTCTTTCCCTTCTTTCTCCCTCTAGGAAATGATGTACATCTGGAATGGTTTTACTGTAGTAGGCAAAAGGCCTGACCTCACAGAAAATCTCTTGATCACCATTGAAAAAGCAGAAACGGCTTTACACAATGAAACAAGTAAGTATGAAAGGTAAGAACATGAAAGCTGTACCTCTTTCTTTCTGTCTTTTCCACTTGTCCTTCTAGCTCATTTCCCAATGATTTCAATTTATATGTGTCATAGACAAACATTGGGAGAGAAGAGAAGAAACTGAAGTGAAGTTCTCCACAAGATTCTGCTTCATTTGTATTGCATGGAGCAATTGTTACTGGGTTAGAGTGCCACCAGCCAAATTTGCTTTAACCTAGATTCTGATTGTTTGTGATTTCCATGAAATCTTGTTGAAGTCTGTTAGAGAATCTTGGATTTCTGAAATGCAAAGGGAAATGTTTGTTTCCATATTGAGATATTATCAAAATTTAAATGTTTCTCCACTTTGGAAGGAGAGTTACCTGTTGTAAACTACTTCCATGTCTTAAGGAGTTGTCTTTGATAAATTCCATGGGTTGTTGCCTTCACATTCCAGCAGCCTCCGAATCATTTTTGTAATGCTACCAAAGTAAAGAGGTTACCATAAATACTAAGGCTATTATAACAGCATAACTACTTCGTACATGGCCATATATCACTTGGACATAAGATTTTATTGAAGTGGTCAATATCAAAGATAGTAAAAACCACAAATTCAAGAAATTATTGGGAAAAAAGTCATGATTTATAGATTGGAGCTGAATTGTAATCTGTCAGTGCAACTTCTTGGATGGTAAAGAGCAAAGGCACTTGAGGATCTCTGAGGGGGACACATCGGTTTGGTCCAAATTTCAGTTTATAATTTTCTTGACTGGAAAAAGTTACAACTAACTAGATCTGGTTCTATTTTGATAGATAGTAATAAATGTGGCTGTTTGGCTGATGAATGCTTTTCTCAGTCTTAAACTACATGAACCAAATGAAAATGGAAAGCTAGTGTATTTTCTCTTACTTCTCCTCTGATACTAAGTATGGCCCGTCTGATTTTGTTGTGCTTCTGGAAAGACTGACATCACTGCAAAAGCCCATGAGTAGACTAGTTATTGAGAAACTATGGGGAAATGTATTCCCATGGGAGACAGTGCTGCTTCAAGGCACGACAGTGGATGGACAACCTCTGCTCTTTTTGTGAAGCTTTTTCCTAGAATGTTATAGTCACAAAACAGTCACTGTTCTGCTATCTGCTATCTTTGTTAATCCCCTAACTTAGTACTTCCAAGTCCTAGCATGCCCCTATTCTTGTAATTCTGTACCTTCTCCAATTTATTCTTTTTTTTCTCAACTCAATTGTAAGACTATAAATTGATTAGCCATACTCTGAGTGAAAAGCATATCTATAAGACATATTTGAGTGTCAGTATTCCAGTTTTTCTCCTTATGTGCACAAGTAATAAAAGTGCCTTGGCTAAGCCAAGAAAATATAGAGTATTAAATTAATTCTTCAACATGAAGTACATTTTAAAAAATTATCATCAGTCAGTAAGCATTTATTAACACCTACTATGTGCCAGGTTCTGTGCTTTAGCACTGGGATACAAAGAAAGGCAAAAAGACAGTTCCTGCTCACTGACGGGGGTTGGGGGAATAGTATGCAAATACACACACACACACACACACACACACACACACACACACACACACACATACGGAGTATAGATTAGAATAATCTCATAGGAGAGAGGCATTAAGATTAAGGAGAACTGGGATTGTGAAAGCTTTTATCACTGCTAAAATTACTGCTTCTTGGTCATAAATTACATTTTCCCTCCATTGATGATCAAATAATTACAGATAAATCATTTACCTTGGTTAATGCATACTGTTAATAAATTTAAGATTATGGGATAGACTGGTGAAGTTAATGTTGATGCTTAGCAAAATTCTAGAGTGGATTATTAGATTGTTAACACTTAGAAGGGAAAAAAAGCAGCGATGATGAGAACCAACATAGGTTCACTAAGAACATTAAATCAAAATGTCATTTCCTTTTTTAATAGCATCATGTGATTGGTAGATTAGAGGGCCTTTATAAAGATGTATATTGTTTAATTTCAGCAAGGCATTTGGTAGTGTCTTTCATGGTATCCTTGTGAACAAGGTGGATAAATGCAGACTATATTTACTTAGGTGGATTTGAAGCTAGTTGAGTAACAATGCTAAAAAAAATGCTGATCAATGTATTGTTATTCTGGAGTGAAATTTTTAGTTATTTTAAATTTTCTAGTGATGTAGGTTCAAAGCTCTATATTTGACTTTCTACTAGTTAATATTTAAAAAAAATCAGTGACTTGGATAAAGACAAAGAAGGCATGGTTATCAAATTTATAGTTGTAGAGGTTAGCTAATATATTGTATGACAATCAGAGTTCAGAAGGATATTAATTGGCTAGAATGTTGGGTTGAAACAAAAAATGAAATTTAGCAGGGATAAATATAAAGTCCTACATTTAGTTTCGAAAAATGAATTGTACAGCTATAGGAGGGGAGAAAGACTTGAATAGAAGTTAATGATAAAAAGCTATGTGGGTTTTAGTTCATTGCAAAATGAGCCACCATTCTGATACAAAAGCTAATAAAAACTAGTGCAAACTTAGGTTTTATTAAAAGACATCAAGAGAGGAGGACTTTGTCCCACTGTGTTCTGCACTAAAGCTTGGTACCAATTAGTGAGAACAACAGTGAATCTAATGCATCATTTAAATATGTACTGCATATTTCCATTGGGCTGGAACTATTCACCATGTTTACACAATTATAACTTCCAATAGTGTAAATTTGAATATATGGGATCATTCACAGGATTCATTATTCACACTAATTAGGACCTAGTCAGAACCAGTCTGGAATACTGTGGTTAGTCCTGGGAACCACATTTTTAGAGGTCTAGTTAAACTAGAGAGTATCAATGTAAAGGTAACCAGAAGGTTGAGTTATCTGAGAATCAGGTTAAATGAAAAGCTGTTAATGTATCTGGGCATTTTTAACCTGAAAAAGAAAAGACAGAAGGTTGAAAGGATAGCACTCTTTTAATTATTTGAAAGTATATAATGGGAAAATGGGAATATGGTAATTCAGTGTCACCCCCAGAAGGCAGAGGTAAAATTGAAAGGAAGACAGATAATGGTTCATCATAAGGATTTTTCTAGTATTTGGAGCTGTTAAATAACAGATCAGACTGTCTGACAAATTAGGGAGCTTGTTATCACTGGAGTTATTCAAATGAAGTCTACACCATTTCTTAAGAAAGTTGCAGAAGGGATTCCTTTACTGGGTGGAAAGGTGGATGAGATCAGGGGTTCTTAACTTTTTTTGCATTATGGACCTCTTTGGCAGTCTGTTGAAGCCTATGGACATAATGTTTTAAAATATACAAGATAAAATTATTACAACAGAAACCAATTATATTAAAATAAAGATGTGTTTTTCCCATCCAAGTTCATGGACCTTGTTAAGTCTATCCATAGACCCTTTATGGGTCCATGTATCCCAGATTAAGAACCCCTGGACTAGATGTAACCTAAAGTCTCCATATCCTCTAAGAATATATCATTCTGTAGGCCCCAAATGGGCCACTGAACTTTGGAATCACAGAGGAAAAATGGCCACTGATGAGCCTTTAACCCCATCCAGTCATCTCACAACTAGGATCATTGGTCACAGGGAAGATAAGGTAAGAGATAATAGATGACTCTGTTCTTTTACCGAAAAAATTTAAAATGACTCTGCTGACAAATAGATCATTAATGTCACCTTATACATGAAGGACAGTGAATTTCCGAAAGAATAACTATGCAACTAAAACTATACAACTTTTTTTTTCTTTTTTCCTCACCCCCTTTTCACAGAAAAGTTATAAAACTTCAGTGTCATAGCTGGGCTGGAGCTTAGGTAGAATAGCCAAAAAATTGAATTGTTTATCTGCAGGAATTGAGCAATAGATATAAAAACGATCCCTTTGAATTCTGGGCTACAGGGGAGCATGAAGAAGAGAATGCAACAAGATGGGAGCACACAAAGAAGGAGAGAAAGATTTTCACAGTTTGGAAAAGGGTCACATGAAAGTATGTGTAAGAACATATTAGACTCTATGAAGATAACACATTTCTTCCTCTGTGTTGTCTTCAGCTTTACAATCCTGTAACCATACTAATCTGACAGACCTGCCATATTGATGTGAAAATGCCAGATTAAAACAGCTTCCCCTTGACTTTAATGCAAAATGAATCCAAATGCATGACATTTCAAAGAACAAATAAATGACCACACCAATTTGAAGCTAAGATTTTTAAAAATTGGCTTTACAAAATCTGTGCAATCTCGTGAATAAATTAACTTTTTATTCACCTAATTTGGTTGTATTTATTAATTTGTGAATATACAGTTTTACAGAGCAGAAACAAATCACATAGAAAAGGCATTTGTTCCTGTCCTTAGGTATTACAAGCTAACTAAAGTATTCAGATACAACCACATTGGTCAAATATATATGTGCAGGTATCATTGCTACTAATACTTCTGCTAACAACTATTTACATTTATATAATCGTTTAAGTTTTATAAAATGCTCTATTCCCAACAACCTCCATGCGGTACTGGTATTATCCTTATCTTATAGACAAAACTTAGAGGCTAGAGATATTAAATAAAACTCATGACTTTTATCTCCAGGTGTCGTTCCCATCTCCCCCCATCCTTCAGTGTTTAATACAATGTGGTCCATATTTGACTTCCTGCCTACAATAGTTAACATTTATATACTATACTACTTTAAGATCTACAAGGTATTTTACGTGTTCAGTTTTATTTAATCCTCACCACAACCTTACGAGGTGGGTACTATCGCCATTGAAATTGAAGGAGAGAAAGGTTAAGTGACAGATTCTGAGATTGGATTCACATTCAAATCTTCTTGACCCCAAGCCCAACACTTTATCTATTATGCCACCTTTAAGGTACTTAATCATAATAAGTATTTGCTGGATGAGTGAGTGTCCATGGAGGGGTGAAGAAATTATTTTTCACTGAGTGAAAAGTATTCCTTTATTATAATTTTTCTCCCATAAAACATCACTTAAATTTTCTGAAAACACAGTAACAAATAATGTAGGCTTTTTTCTTGCTTCTTGCAAGTTAGTTCAATAGAACAAGTTTCTAATTGTGAATTTTCTGTATTATGAATTTTCTGTTCAAGGCCTGAAAGCATTTGTCTTTTCTTTCAATGAGCCTACTGCCCAGCTAATTGAGAGCAGTTCAAAACTTTGGGTAGCAGGGACTCCTGCCAGAGAAGAGCATGACCCATACCAAATCAAACAGGTTTTCTCTATATATGTTGGTGTGCCCAGCATGTGATGTGGAAAATAGTTAACTGCAGGCAAGAATACATAGTATTAAAATATGAACAAAAAGGTAAAATGTAAGTAGTTTCTTAGAGTAGGAGAATAATTAAATACCCAATTCAGAATGTCTCCCTCTGTTTCCCTTGTTCTCATATATTGACCTTATGAGATGATAGATGCAGCAGGTGTAGAATTTCATATCAAGGGCATAAATGTCATTAGAAACAGGAAGAGGCTATTGCAGTGGAGAGGCAAAGCATTAGGTGAAAGCATTGGCGTTTTGCTAAAGGTCACTTTCCAGATGCTGTGTTATTATTCCAGATATTTATGGTAGTGCTTCAAAGTTTACAAAATGCTTTCCTGAAAACAATCCTGGAGAAATGCGGGTATTAATAATTCCAGTTCATGCAAGTACTATTATCCTCATTTTGGAGGAATAAATTGAGGCTCAGAATTTGTGTCTTGCTGCTAGTTATCCAGTCAGTAAATGCCTTGATTCTGACTTAATCCTAGCTTTCGTAGCTCCAGATGTGTTCTTTTCACTGTGCCTCACTGACAGGGCTTCTTGTTCAGCCTGTACCTGTAGGAAGATTTTTTTCCCTCCAGTTAATCAAGAGGCGGTATTGACCTTTTAGCCATGCTGCTGACCTTAGAGGGGGAAATCAGTTATTGTAAAATGGGAATGGAATTGTGAACCTGGCTGGTTCAGCCTCATCATTTCCTGCCTTTGGTGGGTGACTTGTTTGTTGTGTCTCTGACCTTTGAAGGAAATAAGAGAAATAACCCAAGTCACATATGATAGTGGAAGCATTTGGTGTTCTCTCTTGTCAGTGTTCTGCCTGGGAGATATGAAGACTGATTTTCCAGGTCTTTCATAAAAGTTGGGATTTTAGCCAGCCTTGAGTCAGTAGCCTATAATCATTTTTAGTGGAGGTCTATTTTAAATTTTTAAATAAATCTGACAAGGAGCTGTCAGTTAACTTATGGCTTGTTGAACTTAATTGGCATAATGGAAAAGTAGGTAATAAACATGGTATGAGGTTGTAGCTATGATTTTATTAGTATAGAGAACTCTAAGTGTGGAAACTCCATTCACTGATGTATCTTGACAACTTTCCTGTAATTTATAGTCTTTGCCAGTTGCTTGGGGCACTGAAGGGTTAAGTGATTTGCCCATAGTCACACATTTAGTATGCATCAGAGGTAAGCCTGGAACCCAAGTCTTCCTGACACTAAAGCTGACTCAATTTGGTACATTGCCACATGTCACAAAGATTACCTGAGTTATAGAAAAGGAAGTCGTCTGTTTTCCTTTGTTGCTTCTCCTATTTTTCACTTGCTACACCTATTTCATGTTTTTAAAAATGAATTTTATATACAAATTAAAATGCCATATTTTAACCTTGAGATTCACTGAGAGAGAGACCTAATAACTTCTTGCTTGGTGTTGCAATGGGTGCAGCACTAGGCCTGGAGTCAGGAGTATTTGAGTTCAAATCTGGCCTTAGACACTTATGAGCTGTGTTTCCCTGAGCAAGTAACTTATCCCTGTTTGCCTCAGTTTTTTCTTCTGTAAAATGAGCTGGAAAAGGAAATGACAAACCATTCCAAGTATCTTTGCCAAGAAAACCCCACATGGGGTCACAAAGAGTTGAACATGACTGAAAATGACTGAACAACAACAAAAAATGTCCTTTAGTTTAACATAATACAAATGTCAGCAGGTCTTACTCAGCATTATTTTAACTGATTCCAAAATCTGGTATGTTAGCAGAAATAAATGTTTTCTAATCTCTGAGGTTATTTGGTGTAGTGAAAAAAAATTGGCTTTGGAATCAGATGATCTGGGTTTAAAACCTGACTGCTCATAATGTGACTGAACAAGTCACTTTCCCTCCACTGGACTCAGGTTTCTCATCTGTAAAATCTCTAAGGGTCTTTCTAGCTCTGAGTCCCATGATCTCATGATTTATATTTTGAATTAAATAACTATCATGCTTCTCACAAAGCTGTGCAATTTGAAAAAAAGGACAATTATTTTAGTAAGGATTTTGGAGAAATAGGGTAACTTTGAGCCATCTATTTTATTTCTGCTCTTATCTTATGAATGAAAGGAAGGCCCATGTTTTCTGATGACATGTTTGGAATGTCTGTCCTATTAATTTACTTATTGAAATCTATTCCATGGTGTCCAAACTCACTTTGGTAGCACAATTGACAAAATGTTACCACAACTCTTTATAGCATAAAATGATACAGAGGTAGTATAATTGAAGGGAGAGAACATTGGATTTGAGGTTGGAGGACTTCAGAAAGAATCCTGACCATGCTGATTATTTTGTTTGACTAACCTTGAATACAGGTCACTTCCCTTCTCTGGGCCTAAGTTTCTTATCTGTAAAATGTGTGAGTTAAATGAGATGATTTCTAGAATCTCTTCCAGCTCTTAATCTCAAGATACTAAAATTTGCTCAAGGTGAAAGATCCTTAATCATAATAATAACAATAATAGATATTTATGTATTGCTTTTTATACATTACTTTTTGCAGCTTCTTTAGACATGGATTCCTCATTATGGGCCTGAGAGGTCACCTGAGTGACTGGAACTATGGTTGCAAATTATTCCATTGTTCCTGTTAGAGAAATTGGGTTATCCTCTGGGTCTCCAGAATTTTTCTTTCTTAAGTATTTATTTTTGTAAGTATCCTTGACACTTAAAACAATGTTGAGAGTTCTTGGTGTAACCTTTGAAAAAGTAGCATCATTTCCAAGTCTGTAGTTAAAAGTCAACTGCCAGAACATGGAAGTGAATTTTAGTTGCTTCAGAGTAAAGGAGTTCCTTTCCAGGGCACTAAGTAGTATCATCAACTTTCCTTCAGGTAGCAGTTTATTCTCTGAAATGTTACACATTTCAGTAGGTGGCATGAAATATTTCTCAGGTTTGTAGAGAAGAGAATTCAGGATGGAAAGAGAAAGGGACTAGAGATTCTCTAGTCTGTTCTCCTTCCTTCCTTCCTTCCTTCCTTCCTTCCTTCCTTCCTTCCTTCCTTCCTTCCTTCCTTCCTTCCTTCTTCCTTCCTTCCTTCCTTCCTTCCTTCTTCCTTCCTCCTTCCTTCCTCCCTTCCTCCTCCCTCCCTCCCCCCCCCTCCTTTCCTTCCTCCTCTCTCCCTTCCTTCCTCCCTCCCTCCCTCCCTCCCTCCCTCCCTTCCTCCCTCCCTCCCTCCTTTCCTTCCTTCCTCCCTCCCTTCCTTCCTCCCTTCCTCCCTCCATCCCTTCCTCTCTTCCTTTTTTGGGTGTGACTAGAAATTCTTACCTGGTCTTTGAATTTGCACTTTAACCTTATTCTGGGATTGGAATGACTCTCTCCTGCCCCCTGCCCCCCCCCCTTAGTCTTAGCCTCATTTAATCTGAATTTTTAGCAACTAAAAAATTCCGTTATGCACACTTGCAATCCCCCAATCCTCTTCGCCTCACCTCACTTGAAAAAACGGTTTGAATGGTTCACAAAAATAAACACAGCAAAGAGATCATATCCAAGGCCATCTTATTTGTATGGATGTCACACATTGTTCCCTGACTTAAATAGTAAACTCACTTTTCATTTCTTATGGTCTAAGTATAAGGTAAAGATAAATCTTTAAAGGAGAAAGAAAAGTCCTTGTTAATATTTTTAGTCAGGTAGTCAGGAGTTTGATCAAAACCTAAAATGCCTTTCATCTGCCTTAGCACTGTTTTGTCTACTTTTATTTGGTAGTTCTTTTTCAAAAAGAATGGAACCTAGGAGAATTGATAATGAGTTGTAAACATGATGATCTGAAGAGGGTATTTTACTTCCTGAATTTTTAATGGGTGTGAAGCCATCTGTCTCTCCATATGTGTGTGTTACCCTCTCCTCCTGTTGCAGCCAACACTGCTATGAGGTACAACAACAAGCTAAGACAGCCCCCTTGTTACCTTCTTGCTTCTGATAGACTTCCTGGAGCCTTCTCTTGGGCCTTTAGGCTTTTTTAGCCTTTCAGGTTCCCCAACACTGCATTTGGGCCCTTGAAATTTGGCCCACATTTGTCTCAAATCCATTTTAAAGTAGGTAGAGTTTAAATTCTTGATAAATAAAAATAAACATCCTTTAAGAACAAACATTTGTTTTTTAAAATAGGGTTGATATTCTCCAGGAGTATCAGAGGCACTGTCTTGAGAGAAAGAGCATAAGTTTTCATAATTTGAAATGACAAACATTTCCCATAATTTTAAGCAGGTCCTTTATTAGAAATGTCACAAATGACAGCTCTAGCTTTTGATTTTAAATTTAATTGTAAAATAATTTTTTTTCATTTCTATTTTAAGAGTGCAATGATTACTTCGCGGATGACCACTGTTTGGTGCAGTTACTGAAAGGTCTCTGTCTGAAGCACTTAGGACGACTCTTACAAGCTGAACTGTGTTTCAATCAGGTTATTCAAAGGTAAAACAAGGATATCCTGTTGTTGGTTATTTGAGTGCTGCTCTGAGAGATGGATGCAGAGTACTCTGACCTCTTGTTGTTACTGCCTCTTTGCTGTTGGATAATACAGTGTGGTGGCTTATTGTGTGTATTTGATTTTCCTGAAAACTTTTATGTTGGTTGAATTGAAGTTTGAATTTTCCTCAGTGTCTTGAATTTACTTAAAAAGATACATGAATTCTTCAGTGTAGGTCTTCTTCCACTGATGGCAGTTGTACTCCAACCCTTATATGCTTTAATAGATATTTTCACAAATTGCTGTGCCCCTCTTCCCCTCAAAAGAAAAAGATGAAAGAAGAAAAAGTTTCACAAGAGTTGTTCGGCACTCAGGGGATCTGTATTTTCAAAGTTAGCTAGGGTTGGTCCTTGGATACTGGACACTTAAATGGAGGTACCTTGCCTTTGATATTTAAGGTTTACAATTCCAGAATAGGTAAGAATTCCAGGTGACTAGTTTCAATGGTGTCTGCTCATTTTCTGTAGAGCATTTCTATCTTCTTTGAAACAGGAATATTCTTTCCACTGATATGGATAAGCAGGTTGGTGATTCTGTTCCTGGATCTGGCCTATTCCTGTGCCTACATTCCTCACCAATGGCCTCTTTATTGCCATTACCATTTTTACTGAGAGTCCAGAGTCAAAAGAAAATGTTCCTCATCACTGCAACTATCACAGCTACAGCATACTGTCTCCCCACAGTGAGAAAAAGAAAGAGTTAATGGAGAAATGGGAGTAAATCCTTTCTAACTAAGGACCTGCAGTATGTAGATGTGGACCTTGGCTGAGAGAAACATGATTCTGTGTTCATTACTTTCCATTTAGGTATTTTAACTCTGGATAAAGGGTAGGCCAGACATTTCTATTTTCAAATACTGGAGTCAGTGATATTTGTTTAACTGAGCTGAGAATTGCTTTGAGAAGTGACTTGTTTGTTTGGATGAGATCTGTTTCATGTGAACATAGACTTTCAGACACTTAAGGAATGTCCATGTTAAATTCATTTTGGGTGGGATTGGGGATGTATGATGGAAAAGTGCATTGTGAGGGATAATAGGCAAGTACTGCTCTTTATTCTTTGCCCTGAGTTTAACCAACGTTTACTTCTTATCTGCTAGATGAATGGGGAGGTAGGTGGTGTAGTGGATAGAGTGCCAGGCTTGGTATGAGGAAGGCTCATCTCTGTTACTTCAAATCTGGCCTCAGGCACTTATTAGCTGTGTGACCCTGGGCAAATCACTTCACTCTGTTTGCCTCAAATTCCTCATCTGTCAAATGAGCTGGAGAAGGAAATGGCAAGCCACTTTAGTATCTTTGTCAAGAAATCCCAAATTGGGTCATGAAGAGTTGGATACAACTGAAAATGACTCAGCCCCACCACCACCACCACCACCACCACTAGACAAATGTCACTGTGCTCAGTACTGGGGATACAAAGACTAGGATGAAAACAACTCTTGCTCTCCAGGAGCTCTTTTATACAGGGAGATATAATATTTATACAGATAACTAAAAACAAGATAATATGAGAAGGGAGCAAATGCTCCTAACTGTTTTGGAGGTAGAAAGGAAGGATTCATACTGGAGGTGGCAATTGAGCCGTACCTTGGAGGAAGTTAAGGATTTGAAGAGGCTGAAGTGAAGGAGGGAGTATGTTCCAGATGTGGAGAATGGCCTTTGCAAAGACATAGAGATGGGAGATGGAATTCTAAGGTCAGGGAACAGCTTGTGAGCTGGTTTGGCAGGAGCAGGAAATCTATGATGGTAGTAACGTGCAGTGTATCAGGAAATGTAGGTTGGGGATCAGATTGCTGGTGGCTTTACATGCTAAGTGGAATAATTTACATTTTAATCCAGAGGCCTCAGGAAGCTAGTGAAGATTTTTGACCAGGGATGTATCATAGTCAGAGCAGAACCTTACAAATATTATTTTGGTATTTGTGTGAATGATGGATTAGAGAGGGGACAGACTGTAATTGGGGACTCATTTAGAGGGTTTTGCAGTTGTCTAGAAGAGGTACTGAGTTTTGTAGGAGTCAGAGTTAGTAAGGAGAATCTGAACTAAGATGAATATTAGTGTGAGTGGAAAGAAAAGGATGGATGCAAGAGATATTGTAGGAAGTGATAGAAAAATAAAATTTGCCAGCTGATTATAAAAATAGAGTTCCATTTTGGGCTCTTTGATTTTGAGATGCTAATAGGGCATCCAGCCAATGAGATATCCATTAAGACATTGGCAATGGGAGAGTGTAATTTATAGGAGTGATATTGGAGAGGGAGCCATTATGTAAGGAGAGATTGACAATAAGTGTGAGAGAGGAAATGATTGAAAAGGCAAACTTCAAGAGATAATGGAGGGGGGAAGAGAGGAAATGGATTCAAATAGGAGAGATTGGCTTTGGCAAGGAAAAAAGGTACCTCTTCTTCAAAGGCTGAAGCAAAGGAAGAGAGAATGAGAAATGATTTTGAGATGCTTTAGATATAGAATAGGAAAGGAGAGGGAGCTTATGTCACCTCTCTGCTAAAGAGAGAAGAAGCAGAGAATAAACTTGGGGGGGTTTGAGTAAAGAGAAGATTTGGTATAATTGATATGAGTCATGTGCTAATCAGAGAAGAATATATAAAAATATTGCCATGCAGCAGTGAGTAAGAGCATGTGGCATAAATCTGGATGCATTGGCCCAGTTGTGTAACTTATTTGACTAAAGACATTAGTAGCAATAGGACAAGGGAGCAAGGGTATGGCTAAACTAGTTAACTGGGGCCAAAGCAAAAAGTGAGTCCAGAAGAACGATGATGTGTTGGGAGAAATAAAGTGGTTGTGATGAAGAGGGTGAGTAGGTTTAGGAGACAGGTGAGTAGGAGGATGTGAAAAGAGAGAGGAACTGCAGAATTTAGCATCATGGAGGCTCCATAGTTATTGACAGCAGAGGTGAGATCTGAGATGTGGACTGTGTGTGGCTGAGGTAGAGTGAAGGTGCAGGTCATAGGAGCTGATAAGGTTGAGGAATTGGGTGGCCTGGGTATTTGAGGGGTATCAGCAAGTACATTGAAGTCCCTGATTGTAAGACTAGGGGTTGGAATAGAGAGGAAGACTGTGAGCCAGGTACTGAACTCAAGAAAGATGGGAGAATGACTTGGGGCTATTCAAGATCCTTCAAGACAGGGCCTGTCTCATTTTTGTCTTTGTATCACCAGCACTTGACAAGTTATCTAGCACATTGACATTTCATAAATGTTTACTGAGTTGAACTGGGATATAACTACCATCAGGTTCTAGATAGGGAGATAGAGTGGGATGTGATGAACTGCTAAGGAGGCGAGGTTACTGAAGAATGGCAGTGGGGAGTTCTCAGAGGCAGTGAGAAGCAAGGTGTTCACACTGAGTGCATTAGAGGAGCTGCAGCCAGTACTAGAGAAGGTGTTTTCCAGGTTTGAGAGCACACAATGGGGGAAGAGAGAGCAGAGTAAGTTGGGAATTAAGGAACTAGGGAGGGAGAGAGGTAACATCTATGAGAATGAGACAGCAAGGAGAAGTTTTAGAAGGTTTTTATTTTGTTTTTGTTTTTGTTGTTCTTTGGTGAGGCAATTGTGGTTAAATGACTTGCCCAGGGTCATATAGCTAGTGAGTATTATGTGTCTGAGATTGCATTGGAACTTGGGTCCTCCTGACTCCAGGGCTGGTGCTCTATCCACTGCGTCACCTAGCTGCCCCAGGTTTTTTTTTTCCCCCACCTCAGTGTACAGTGATTCACAGAGCGATTAGAGGGAAGCAGAAAGCAGAAGTTTGCTAACCAGAGGTCAGGATAAGTACCTGTTTCCTGGTGTTTCCATACTCAGCTTCTGGGGTGGCCAAAGGTGTCTTCAATCTGTTCTTTCCCAAGCTAGAGCCGAAGGGGTTGAGCCAATAAGAACTACAGCTTCGGCGATGGGTTTCTTTGTCTCATGCTGAGATACTGGGGGATGGAACGTATCCAAAAGACAACATGTAATTAGCTCCTGGTCGAGCCTGGTGTTGGGGCATGTTCTGGTCCTGGATGGGGTCCTACTGACAAGAAGCTCTGGTGTCTTGGCCCTTCATGGTTCCTGAGGCCTAAGGTAGTATTGCTTTTCTCATGCTTTTTGGTGAGACTGGAAAACTAAAGGCACCCTCCATTGTGTCAGTAGATTCCAGGGTAGGGAGGCCAAATTTACTCCCTCAGGGGACTGTGAGCTGGACAACCAGCAGTCAGGATCCATTGATGAGAGTCCAGGTAGAAGTAGGGACAGGAATCTTGGTACCAGTGGTGGTCCTTGATGGTAATCCTAGTCATCTTCTTGCCACTATCTTATGCTTTGTTGCCATTTCTCATAATGTGATAAACTTTGTGTTTAAAAATTATTCCTTGGGGTGCTAGGTGGCACAGTGGATAGACCACCGGCTCTGGAGTCAGCAGGACCTGAGTTGAAATTCTGCCTCAGACACTTGACACTTACTAGCTGTGTGACCCTGGGAAGGTCACTTAACCCCAATTGCTTCGCAAAAAATAATAATAATTTCTTGCCCATCAATTGGGGAATGACTGAATAAATTATGGTATATGAATGTGATGGTATACTGTTGAGGTTTAAGAAAGGACGAAGAGGATTGGTTTCAGAAAAACCTGGGAAGACTTATATGAACTGATGCAGAGTGAAGGGAGCAAGACCAGGAGAGCAATTTATGTAGTAACAGCTATAGAACAACTTGGGAACTCTGACTGCAGCTTAGAGCCTTAATCAGATTCTTGGGATGCTGAAAGATTACATGTTTTGCCTAGGGTCACACAGCCAATCTGTCACCTCTATCCACTATACTACACTGTGTCTCGCTTTTGAACCTACCAGCATAAATGAACAAGGCAGCAGCTCCAACAGATGGTTGTAGCCTAGAGCTCTTGGAGGCATCCAAAAACTCTTAGTGTATTTCGAAGCTATTAAATCTTAAAACTGCACCAAGACTTTTGGAACACCCATATAAGCTGACTCCCGGGAGGAGTAAACTTGTCTGTGGGTGCCAGAGAGCCATGTTCTCATGAGCTACCAAGAAGAAGCACCCAGCGGAATGGAAAGGGCTCCAGCACCTTACCAGCTTTCTGACTTTGCACAGGTCACAACTGCTCTGAGCTCTGTTTCCTCCCATGAAAAATAAGGGTTATGTGACCCTGGTCAGTACTCTGCAGGGTTGTGAGGAAAGTGCTTTATAAACCCTCAAAAGCTTTAGAAATAGGAGCTTATTTTAATGTATGACATGTGGTTTAAAACAAATCCAAACCCTAGCACAATCCTAGAATTACTGTTGATTCTCATTATGCTTCTCACTTAAAGAGAAATTTCAGAAAGAAAATTTTGTTGGAAATGGAAAAAATTATAAAGTAGCTCAAGAAAAATGTAAAAGTGGGATTTTGGGTTTATTTTGGTTACTTAATGGCAAATTAGATTATCATTTATTATGGATAAAGTCACTTATAGTGAATTACTTTTAGGAAAAAAAGCTTCAATATTAAAAATCAAGATGTGATTTCAGCCATCTTTGGGTGGCAGTAGTGCTTTTCCTATTAGAGAATGTGAGGCACTAGTTAAATTGTTTCTGAAGAGGTGAAAAGCTTTAGTTTCTTTTTTTTTAAATTTAATATGTATGTGTGGATTGTTTGAAAGAGTGAAAATGAAAAAAATAAAGCTCTGAGAGAGGTGCTTAAAATGAGATCTGGCATCTGTATAAAGGTAAGATACATAAGAAGTGTGGGCCTATAGCATGTATCAGTATTAGATGCTATAATAAAAGTAAATGTTAGAATTGAGGATTTTAGGACCAAAATATTTTAAGGGAAGTTTGAAATGTATACTCCCATTTTGATTGCATGGTCTAATATCTGAAAGAAAGGAGCTTTTCTTTATAATCAGAAAAATGGTCACTAGATTGTTGTCTTGGGAACAGATGCTAACTTTCTCAATTTTTTTATTTTTGCCCAATGAAACGCAATAGTTTTGAATTCTGAAATCATCTTTAGGGGTTAAAAGGAAGGTTTCCCCTAAATGTCAGTTATGTTTTTATTCAAAATGGAGACTTACATTTCTGGAATAAATCATGAGGCCGAAATACCTGACATATCAGTGACAATGTTTTGCCTAAAATAAAAACACAATAAATTTTTTTTTCATTTGAAGTTTTTTCTTTTATGTTTTTTTCTTTTATATTCTTTTGCATGTCAACTTAAAAATAATTATATTTGTTCAGAAAATAGGCCTGTTTTTATATCTGTCTTAATGAAGAATGCATAAAATGTTGGTGTACATGTACCCTCTTCCAACTGTCAAAACTAACTGGTTTATTTTTATTTCTAGTGAGAAACAACTAAAATTTGACCACTACCTTGTGCCATTTACTCTGTATGAACTGGGACTTTTATGCCAACTGCAAGGAGACACAGAGAAGGCCTTACGGATAATAGAAACTGCAAAGTAAGTTGTGCTAGTAGCTTTTCACATTGCTAATCACATAGTCACTGACAGGTGCTTGTTTAAAGCGTTCCCAGATTACCTCTGTTTAAAGTGATCTCTTTCTCTAAAGAGTTCTCTGGGTACTCAGGTCTCTTTTTGTTTCATCACATTCTACCTTAAGTCTTAGTTATTTGCATGTATGGTATATCCTCCTCTCTCCCCAATCATTGTCAAGTGTTTTGTGATCCTTGAAAATGAGAAACTGTATTGTTTTTCAAGCATGTTCTGTATCTTATGTGTAATAAACATTTGTAGACTTGAATAGAGTTCTAGTTCCTATCAACCACGAGTGCTTGAAGCCAACAAAATCCCAGACACGTGTAAGGATGGACTTCATGATTGCTGTTACAGTTGGGCTTTTATCTGTGCTTCTCCTTTTTCTGGATCTCTTTATGTATATTAACACTTATGTAAACCCTGGCTTTGGGCATACTGAGGAAAATGGTGGAATGACTCAGGTGTGTACACCAACATTCTGCCCACCCCAGCTACCCTTTGTCACTACTCTATTTGCATGGTTGTATTTTTTTTTAACCTAACTGAAAGATTTTTTGACATATCCTTACTAAATTTATTCATATAAAATTCATCCCATTGTTCCGGGGTGTTAGGATCTTTTAAAGTCCAGATCCTGGCATCTACCACATTTGCTGTTATTCCCAGTTTCCTGTCATTTACAGATTTGATTAGCATGCAGTTATGTCTCTATCCCAGGCATTGATAAAAATGTTAAAACAAACATAAACGAGGACAGAGTCTTGGTGGACTACCATTGAAGGCATGTCACCAGATAGTAGTCATCAGTCCAAATTAATTAACACCTTTTACAGTCATTTAGCCAGCTGTGAATCTACTGATTATACTAACGTACAGCCTAGATAAATGTCTGGCTTAAATTCAGATGATGTGACAGTTACTATGGCCACATAGCATATATTGTCAAATGCTTTAACTCTAGCATTCACCTGATCCACTAGTCAAGTTATCAGGGATTACAGCTTGTCTGTAATTTAATAAATCTGTCTTAAAAAGGTACCTGAGGCTTAGAAATGTTGCATGATGGTCACAATGCTAGTGTCAGAAGTGGGATTTGAACCAACTTTAACTACAAGTCCAGACCTCTGTCCTTTCCCCGACACTGTCAAAAGGGAATGCCATGAATTGGTCTTATTGAACCTATGCTGATGCATGATTATCATTGCTCTACTTTTTCTAAGCACTCACAATTCATTTTTTAAAACAATGCATTCTAGAATTTTGGTGGGAATGAATTTCCAGGCCACTAGTCCATAGTTTGGAAATTCTATTTGCCCTTTTTGAAAACATTAGGAAATTTGGCCATTTCAGATCCTATAGGACTTCCAGATTTTATAATTCCTTAAAAATCACTAATGATGGGATATTTGAAATATCTGCAAATCATTTTAGTGCACTGGATTCAATTCATTTAGACTAGGATATTTGAAGTCATTTAAATCAGTAAGATTCTCTTACTATTGTAAGATCATTGAATCAGAATTTTTGATGTGGAAGAAGCCTTTGAGGTCATGCAGGTAAAACTCACTTTTTTTATAGATGAGAAAACTGAAACCCAATTAAATTCAGTAGTCATTTGTTAAGCACTTGTTACTCACCAAGCACGGTACTAGGCATTGGGTATGAGTACAAAGACAAAAAGGAAACAGTGACTTAAGTGACTTAATTCTCTTGGGTGACTATAATCCAGAAAGGTTAAGTGATTTTTCTCCTGGTTACACAGCTAGTTAATGACAACCTGGACCAAAGTCTAGCACTCCTGAATTCATGTGCAGAATTCCCTCACGTATGTCACAATGACCCCACAAAATAGCTCCATGCCTCTTTTGTCCTTCAGTTTCTTCTTAATAATTTTGTTTTCCTCTTCCCAATTTGAAGATTGCTTTCCCTTAGTTCAGCCACACAGGACACATTTATCAATGGGTACTGCTGGATACTGTGGTGCCTTGCCACTTAAATAGAAGTGAAGTATCAACTGTCTTTCCATTGTTTCTTTGTTATTTCTTAATATTATATCATCCCTCTCAAATAGGGAGCTTGGATAATAAGGAGGGATACTTTACTTACTTGCCAAAGCTCTTCCTATGCTCAGTCCTGGGGCGGGAGGAGGAGTGGGAAATACCAATGAGAGGTCTAAGGTAGGAGTAATGCATGGCCATTACCAATGGAGGTGACGGAAGGTTTCTTGGAGGAGTTGGCTTTGGAGGCAGGCCTGAAAAGTAGGATTCAGTAGGCAAGAAAAGAGAGGAAGAACACTCTAGAGACGCAACTTAGAGGGTTCAAGGAGTCTCCAGTTTTCCTGGAGAGTGTGTTGAGGACAGACTGGAAAGGGAGGGTGGTAGCAGATTGTGAAAGGTTTTAAATGACAGAGAAGAGAGTTAGAGCTTTCCCCAGGGGATGCCCATGAAGATTTTTGAGAAGTAGAATTACATCAGTAAACAACATACATCTGGCATATGGGAAGGATGAATGGTGAGAAGGGCTCTAGGTAGTAAAATCATAGATGGTCATGGATTTAGAGCAATCATGCTTCGGGGTGGGAGTTGAACTAAGTGATTTCTAAGATCCCTGACAGTCCAGAGATACAGTAATTTTGAAGTAGGAGCCATTGTCAGGAACAACTGGATTATTGGCTGGCATATTTGAAAATATTCCCTCCTCTTCCTTCCTCTTTTGATATTACTGGCTTCAAACTTTTTCTTGCAGAGGGGGATGACTGTTAGCTAGTTAAAGCAGAAACGTGAGAGCCCTAATTAATAGCTGAAGTTATTTGCTGTATTCTGGGAGTTAGGGTAGAATTCCTTGATGACAGGAACTGTTTCTTTATTTCTTTTGATGCTGAAGGCCTCCCACCAAGCATTTCCCATAGTAGGCATTTAGCAAAAATGTGCTGAATTTAGATGAATTTGGAATTGTTGTTCAGTTGTTTCAGTCGTGTCGATTCTTCGTGACCCCATTTGGGATTTTCTTGGCAAAAGTATTAGAATAGTTTACCATTTCCTCCTCCAGCTCATTTTACAGATGAGGAAACTGAGGCAAACAGGGTTAAGTGACTTACCCATGGTGACATAGCTAATAAGTGTCTAAGGCCAGATTTGAACTATGGGAAATAAGTCTTCCTGACTCCAGGCCTGACACTCTATCCACTTTGCCACCCAGCTGCCTGAATTTAGAATACAGCCTGTCATTTCTTAGAATACAGTTTTCTTAACTCTTACCATAATGATTTGTGCCAATTTAATGTTGTTTTTTTTTTTTTGTTTTGATCCTGTGATATGTTTAAAGAGCTAGGCTGCCCTAGATTTTTCCATCTAATTTAGGGAGTTGACACAGTTTAGGAATAGTTTATATACTTAGTATTGTTCATGAAATATGCTTGGTAGAGAAAAGATAACCCAAGTTCAAGAAAAAGGCTAATCTGAGTGTGAGGGGCTCTGATTTCCTATTGACAGTTTGTTCTTTTTGCCTTTTAGAACCAACTACAAAGATTACTCCATGGAATCCAGACTGCACTTCAGGATCCATGCAGCACTCAGCAGTTTGAAGGGCTCTCCTGCTTCTACTCCTTGATGGAAGCCCCATAGAGGGAAGAGTTTTCTGAACTGGCAGGAGCTTCTACTCTAGAGAAGTCCTTGTATTAAAGTAGATAAATGATCATGTACATGAGAGAGAGAGAGGGGAAAAGCAAATTGGTTTTATTATCACCGTTTTCTTTCATCTGTCTCTGTTTGGATGTTGTCTTCTTGTTTCCATGTTTTCCTATGGAATTTTACCATAGCTTTGTTCAGTCTGTTATTAGAAAGTCTTAATTTTGTCTCGTAAGAAGAATTGAATTGAGGTGTGAGGGTTTTATTTTAAGACTTGCAGGTGCAATAAAGTCTACTTTAGATAATTTTTTTCTATGTGCAGATTGATATCATTGAGCTAGCAGGCTGAAATCTTGTGATCCTGGATCACAGCTACAGTATTCAGGGGAGATGATATTTCTGTACTGGGCTATTTTACACCCTTTGAGCTCCAGAGCTGAGTCTCCTATCAGCCAGTTAGTCTCCATGAGCATTTCATAACCTGATATTTTACTTTTAATACAAAAATAAAAATCACCTTCATCTAGAAATATGAAATTTCTTACAGTTATACCCTTCTGAAGAATATGGTACAAAACTAACAAAGGACAGGAATGATTGTTGCATTGATGTTTTAGGCTTAAAGGCATTCCCTCACTTGAACTGAAACCAAAGTGTTGCCTTTTCTTCCATCTGATAAGAGGAAGCAACTTTTTTTTTTTGAAAGAGATGTTGGCCTCTCCTTGAATGTATTGAAATCATTTTCATTTGTATTTCCCAGAATGTGTGGGTCTCTCTAATGAGAAAAGGAAGACCATGGAGTTCCTAGGCATTCAGTAGTGAGAAAGGAAGGCCTGAAAGTATAAATTTGATTGTTTGTTTGTTTTCTCCTCAGGAAGCAAAGCACAATTAACGTTGCTTGTACAATCTTGTACTGTCTTTATATTTGTTATGTTTTGATGCTCAGTGTCTGATTTTATGATCTCTCATTGCTCTTAATTTTTTAAAGTTCTATTCGTATACATTAGTAATATGTTCAGTCCTTTATTTGAAAATTACCGTCTTGGTGCGCTTAAATTAACATTTATTTTTCAAAAATAGTTGATATCAAAATACATAAGACATAGAATTTCAAACATTTGAAAATTACTTCTTTCAAGCACATCATATTTCACAATTGCCACCACTTTTTTCTTTTGAGAGGAGGGATATTTCTGGCTTAGGACCAAATACCAGCTGCTAAGGACTACAGCAGGAAAGGTCAGGTAGTTCATGTATGTAGCAGAGTTCTTTTATTTATATTGTGAAATAGCATTTATTACTTTAATTAAAAGACTATGCCCTTTTTGGGGATGGTATTGGCACATGATTATTGGCTGGTCCAAGTGCTGCTTTTGTGAGTTGGAAGATGTGAAAATCCAAACATGTTTATATTGACTCATGGAACTAATCAGGTTAAAAAATATATTGTGCTTGATACACAGTTAAGTGCTTGATATTTGCCTTTTTGTTCATTCAAAAGATATCTATTTAGCATCTCCAAATTGGAATAGACAATAAGACATGTAGGGAACAGAAATTAACTATCCTGTTCCTAGTTATTAACTCATGTTTAGCAGTTATATGATATTAAATGGTGACACTTAAAATACCATGATGATAAATTTTGATTGGTCTAATAATATGATGAGTACGTTTGCTATATATAATTATAGAGAAAAAGGAATTCAGAAAAATAATTTTTAAAATTCAGCTGTGGCAATTAGATTGGAAAAGTGCAGTAAATCCAAAATTTCTACACGTTTGTAGTGACTTTTCCTTGATGACATCATTTAAAACAACACTTCTGTTATGGCTTTGGTTGGACTTGTTTTGGTTGCATCAGTTTTAACTGAGCACCCCTGTTCATTATTTACAGGCAGTTTTCAGAGCCACATAGTCAATAAAAATTCTCTTTCTTAAGAAAGGTAAGACAGCCTTTTAAAAAACCCATGGTAAATCTTCTGTTGTTTTTAGAAACTATTTTATTTCTAAATTGCCAACCACATTTTTAAAAAATCTGATAACTCCAAAGTAATTGATGTTCATATTTACCTTCAGCTTTTAATTTATTTCCTAAAATGCTAAGCAATATGGATAAATTTGCAAGAATTAATTTTATAGGTCTTAATATGGTTCATTCAGTCTTCAAATAATTGTTAAGTGCCACCTTTTTATAAGGCACCAGTCTCCTCTGAGAGTAACAGTCTACACTAGTTGCTTTTCCTTGCTCACTCAACCACTTGTTCCCCAAATCCAGCAGTCCAGCTTCCACTTCTATTACTTGACTAAAACTATTATCTTGGTGGTCAACAATGAATTTCATAACTGTCAAATCCAACAGCCTTTCCTTCATCTTCATTTTATTTGAATCTTTGTAGCTTGTGATATTGTTGACTACCTCTCCTTAAAACTTTTTCCTCTTCTCATGGTTCTCTTCTAACCTCTCTGACCATTTTTTTTTCTCTTTCACAGACTCTTCCTTTTCCTACCTCCTAGGTAGAGGAATTCCCCAGGACTACCCTTGGTCTTCTTCTCTCCCTGTAGAGTCTCTCCTTTGGGGTTCTCTTTCACTTCTGTGACTAGCTGTCACCATAATCACCATTCTATAGGTGACTCTCAATTTTATATATTCAGACTTGATCTTTAACTATCTCTACCACATTCCCTAGGTAGCACCTCATATTTATGTCCCAAACTTACTTTTCCATTTTGCTTGAATCTGTACTTCCTAACGTTTCCCTATCTGTTCATTGTACCACTGTCCTACCTATAACTGAAACTTAAAATTTCGGGATTACTTTGACCTTTTCTTCTTCCAAACATGTATTCCCCCATGTTGAATCATTTCCCAAATCCTCTCAGTTGGTGGAATAATTCACATATCTGTCCCATACTCTTCATTCCCATCATCTTTACCGTAGTACAGCCTCTCATCTGTATCTTGCTATATCTATATTATTGCTATGGTATTCTTATTCATCTCCTTTTCTCCAGTTTCTCTTCAATCCAATTTATTCTACACACCTGTCCCAGAGTGGTCTTTCTAATGGATAGTGCTGATCATGTTGTCATTCTCCTACTCAGAAGCCGTCATTGGGTTCTCACTGTCTCCTGAATAAAGTTCAGACTCCTTATCCTGATATTCAAGAAACTCACGTCTGTAACCTACCGTTCCAGCCTTATCTCGTATACTTCATGTTCTTAATTGTTGCCCAAACTCATCCTAGTCTTTGCCTTTGGCTCCTTTCCAGGGATGTTAGGAGGAAAGCATTTCGTTTATACCTTAAAGCACCATATGAATGTAAGGTTTTGTGTGTGTTTGTGTGTGTGTTTCTACAATCTGCTCTGCCTTTCCCTCCCCCAAAATCCTTGTTTTCTACCTGTTGAAAGTCTACTGTCCTCAAAACCCAGATCATATTCCACTTCAAAGAGAGAAGTTCAGGTTCCCCTTATCCTTCTCTATATCTTTCATTGTCCTTTATTGGTATTTCATCCCTTGTATTTTATTCATTTGTGTGTAAGTCTTATCTTCCCGATTAAACTGTGAGCTCCTTGAGGGCAGGGACTCATGCTTTTTTACTGATCTTTGTAATTCCCAAAAAACTTTATCAGTGGTTTGAACACAGTAGGAGCATAATAAATGAGTGAATTAAATTGACTGTCAACCCACTCTTTTATTTACAGGGTACCTTGCTAAATCATCTGTTAATCATACTGTGTTTGAAATCAGAGCCATATTGGTCAAGATTTGTGATTGTATAGTATGTTTTTATCAGTATATTTGATAACTTGTAGGGTACCTAATGTACATTCATTCCTTTGTTGATGGCAGCTGAGTGATAACAGTCTCTAAATATAGATACCAAGAAGTTGTGTTCTTTTAAATCTTTTGACAGAGAAACTGCCCATTAGTACTTGACAAGTAATGAAAAAGTATCTTTTATCAACTCTCACATTCCTAGTCTTGTATGTTTTTTATGGGTCTAACAATCTCCAGTTGGTTGTGATTGATGGGAACTGTGATTTCAAGAGGGAAGGTATTTCATGGAAAAATTCCCTCTCTCTAATGAAGGTTTTTTTTTTTCAATTTAGAAGTTATCTTCAGACAGTTGTATTATGGCTCATACAGATAGTCACAGTTGTTCATTTTTGAAGCCCTATGTACATTTTCTTTTCAAATTAATTTCTTGATGTCTGTATTATATGTATAACAGTTAATGATTTTACTCATTGATATAAAAATAGTTTCTTTCTGACAAAATTCGAGATTGTCTTGGAATTATGCTCATTAATTTATCCTTGAATTTACCTACCTCTTTATGCTGTTCCTGGTGAAAATGTAGTAAGGTTACAGTGTATTCTCTTGGCATCTGGTAGTAATTAATACTTCATGAACTATAAAGAGCTCTTATGACATCTAGTTAATACCCCTGGTTTTGAATAGAATTTAGTGTGGTCTCTATTAGAGTATTGGTTAGTCCTTTATCATTTCTTCAGAAGAAGACTCTTGACTGTCTTTGGTATGGTCAAGAAGTTCTTTGTTGTCTGATCCAAATGTAATCAGGCACAGTTTGACTTCTGCTTGTGTTTTGTCCTCAGATAAAACAGAATAGTCATTCACAGCTAGCTTTAACAATAACTTCATGTGCTTGGAATGTCTTTTTTATATCTTACCATCTTCATTTTCTCCAGGCTAAATAAAACTTATTCATTTAGTCTTTTTTTTTAAAGGAGTAGAATTAATTCCCCTGCCTATTAGTAATTATTTTTTAGCACTAGAAATTGTTTAGAATTTATATCATACCTTTAGCTGTGGCATCTTGGATTGGTTCAATTAGTGCTAATTAGTGAAGGGGGATTAATTAATGATTCTGTTATGCTGTATTTCAGTCTCCATCTCAGGATTATGCTCATTTTTTAGTGTATAGCACTAGAGGACTCCATCTCAGTACTGCTCCAGTAGACCAGTGGAGTCAAACTCAAGTAGAAATGGGCCTACTGTACCATAAGAACGATCCCTGGAGGCCTCATATTGACTTGAAAAACACATTAATATTTTCTGTGTTTGTGTTGTATTTTTATTTTATTAACTATTTCCCATTTACACTTTAATCTGGTTCCAACTGCTGAAGCTGAGTGTTTGACACCTCTACCATGTAGACTGCTAGATGAGATCACTAGATGTTTCTCATTTTTTTGCACCAAGTCCATCTTGCTTCAGACTGTATTTGTATTGCTTATTTTTTCTCTCTTAAGTGAAGTGTCCTGTACTTCAAGTGTTTTCCATTTGTTACTGCTTTCTTACTCTCAGTTTATAAATGCCTCTGACCAATTGTAAATTCACTCTTGGGAGATTTATTTTTTTATCCTCATTTTTCTGTGGGTTAGGGGAAGTTTCTTTTTCTTTATGGCCACTTGGGAATAAGCGATCAAAAAGTATACCAACCAAACCATATAAACTGGAATTTCACTATAATATAACCTGTTGCATGGAGATCAACATAACAAGCCTTCGCATAGGAACCCTTCACTGAAGTTCAGTTATCAGGATTGCTAAGTGGATGCCATCATAACCTAATTGTCTCCATTCGCCATAATTTCACTTGTGCCATGGACTCTTGGGTCAGTGTAATAGTGTCTTCAGAGTATTTAAATATCTTCTAAATAGTTATTTGGCAGCAACTGACCTGATGATTACGAGCTATGCTATAATTATTAGCTGGAACTACTCATTATATTAATGAGCTAGGATCATAAGCTTTTGGCATTTTCTGGTCAACTCCTACATTTTGCAGAGGAAGAAACTGAGCCCTGTGGAGGGAAAGGGAATTGACCAAAGTCAAAGACTCTGGTAGTAAGTAGCAGTGGTATTTAAATGTGGGTCCTATCATTCTCAAGCTAGATGCTGTCATCTACAATTTAGTTATGGAATTAATTTGGCTCACTTGTGAAATGGAGTTGGCAGCACTAAATGATACAGTAGAAGGACTGAGAAGTATCAAGTCATTTTACCTCTGGGCTTCTTTTTATTTGTCTTTCAAATAAGGTTAGACAAAATGATCTCTAAGATTTTTTTAAAAAGCATTTAATTCAGTAGGTTTTGGGGGGAAAGTTTTACTTTGTTAATTTTGGACTCAGCATTTCAGTGCTAGCCCAGTTAATCTATACTCTGCAAATATTTTTATACTGTAGTCAAACTTGAGAATAATTTGGTAGGCTATTTACTTAAAATATAAATTTCTTGCCTTTTTATCAACTTTTGTGCTTGTATATAGTAGCTAAATGTTATGCATAAATATCATTTAAAATTGGCTTTGGATAGATCTTTGACATATCAGCATGCAAAAAGTAAACAGACCAATATCTAATTCTGACCTTAAAAAAATTAAGTTCCACCCCAGCTTTTTATTTTTCCAAATTTTGTTATAGTGTCTGTTTAGACTAGAATATGCATATTATATCATTCTCCTCCATTTCTGTTCCTATAACTGTCAAAAAAAAAGGGGAAGAGGGAAATACCTTTCAGTACTTTTGCCTTTCATTACTGTAGTTATACTTTGTTTTTTAGGATTAGGATTTATTATTACCTACCCTACAGGCAGAGAATTGTGAGAAAAGTGCTTCATAAACTACTGGGTTCTGTAGAAATGTGAGCATTTATTCTTTGTTTTAAATTACTGGGTGAAAGATTGAGAGAGAGAATGATTTGTAAGAATTTGGAGTATGGAAAATTAATTTCTATGTTTACCATTATTTAATTCACAGAGACATAGGAAAAGACTAGTTGTCTGTCCATCTCCAAAGGTTTAGAAATTTAATTTAGACCATCCATGGAGGGTTTAGACATTCTGCTGAAAACAGGGGCTTAGACCAGATGATCTCTTTAATTCTCTTCCAGGGCTATTTTTTTTGTGTTTTGTAATAAACGGTAGTACCAACTACTGAACCCAGGGTCACTGCTGATTTGGTGGGTAGAGCATGCATGTGCTTGGTGTTTTTCAGCACTTCTTAAACTGTGGGTTGTGACCCCATAGCAACAGTAAAAAAGTTTCTGAACACACAATAACCAAAAATTAGTTCAAAATCAAATGTGTAATGAATTCGAGGTTTAAGGTTTAAGGCAGTGCTGTGCAGCCTTGGTTCTGAAAGAGAAGCACGCACACTTTGCTCTGTGCATGCCCTCAGGCTACGTAACACCAACAAATGCTGCCGAAATGCAAAGAGGGGTTGTGAGTGGAAGAAGTTTAAGAAGCCCTGGTCTAGATCGATTATCTAGACCTATTCTCAGAGTAAGGCAAACACCCTCTCTCCTCTGAGGAATCCCAATAGGCCTTTTCATTGTGTTTACAGTCTTCAAGTTTGCTTATATTTTACAGAATAATACTTAACAGCCTTGTATACCAGAAAATTAAAACAGCAGGCTTATTGTATTTAGATTTTAAAGAATGCTTACAAATTGCGCGCTTTAGTAGAAGTCGGGGTATTTTAATGCCAAGCTTTATTAAGTAGATTTTTCTCAATAATACCTAGTTTGCCTTTTCTGAAATAGTTATTAGACATACCTCACTTGGAACATGAGAACTTGAGAAATTTTGGTGTCTTCTCAAGAGCTGTTAATTCACTACTCCTCAGTAGTTATTAGTAAATTTTCTTAGACTAATGGCAGATTATTTTAAAAAACAAAGTGTTCTAGAGATGGAAGAACTAAAACCTTAGAATAGTTGGAAAATTAGGTATAAAGTTAGATAATTCAACATTTAGAGAAAGTTGTCCTTTGAAATGCAGGAAATTCTGCCTGAATTGAACATAGTGAGATTATCTACATTGGAAGTAATGTATACATTATAGCTATAACTTTTTTTTTTTTGGCTAGGCAGTGGGGTTAAATGACTTGCCCAGGGTCACACAACTGGTAAGTGTCAAGTGTCTGAGGCCTGATTTGAACTCAGACTTCAGGACCAGTGCTCTATCCACTGTGCCACCTTGCTGCCCTTATAGCTATAGCTTTAAAAAAAAAAACTTTAATGAAGCCAAATGTTCAGGTGGCAGTGTTTGGTTCAATAGATTTAGAAAAATGTATATTATGATATCATTTTTTTCTTAATGATTTATCCTCTGTGGCTGTCAGATACTTTTTCCTTATCAGTGTGTTTCTTCTGTAAGAAACTGGTTTACATGAAAAGAGATTTATACCATGTGCAATTTTTAAATATTGTACAACTCTAAAAATTTAGAGGCTTCAGGGAACTGTTCAGTCCTCTGTACAAATAAAATTTGTAGAAGGAAGGTTCATATAAATGTTTCACTGATCTATCCAGAGAAATCAGTTAACTTCTAACAATATGCTGTATTCTTTCAATGTTTTAGGTGATATTTTTATATCTAGGTTTATTTTTTGTACCATTTTCCCCCTTTCATTGACAGATGGTATCCCAGCACCTTAATGAATACCAAATGACTCACTTGTGTGCCAGTGTTTTGAATCTTCATTTGCTAATGCTCATAGAGCACTTTGAGACTTCTGGATGTAAATTGCTAGAGCCCACATAGAGGCAAAACACAAAACTTATAAGTGAAAAGTATTATTTTATTAAGTGCAACTCATTTTTCAGAGTAAAATTATTTTCCGGAGTTATTTTTGTAGTGTCTTTACCTGGG